TCTGGATTGCGGCTTCGATGGAGTAGCCAGAGAGATCATACCTGTCGTCAAATCATCTGACCAGAGTCGACATTGGTTTGTGTCTGAATCGTAATCGAACAGTCGACAAGCGGTTCTTTGATTGCACTGCATGTGACATCGGAGAATGTTGCTTTGAGTGAGCGTGAGAAAAGGAGTGCTTGCACTGCTGTATGGGGTGAACGCATAACCGAAACTGCTTAAGCGAGCTGTTGATTGATCTTGGTAAGAAAGATCAATACAAAGTAAACTAAACAATAAGAGATTGATGATCGACATGTAATAATGTCTTTCTGCCGTCGTTTTGAGAATGATTTTGAAGGAATATATAATATTACCGTCTTTTAAAGAAAGAAAAAGATTGAATATGAAGTATTATTAAATAGCTTCTGCTTGAAATGTTCTTTAATTTGAATCGTTTCCATTTTGAGAATGCAGAAAAACTAATTAAATACGCCATACTTTGAAAAAATCAAAACAGCCCGCTTTTGTTTCTCATACATGAATGACATGCTCTGATTTTGCGCGTAGAGGTCATAGAAAAAAGAACATTTTGATAATTAGTTTGGGTACCTCAATGTATTGGATAGATGCTGATTTTTTCTGTCGATAAACTCCTTGTAAGGATATAAACACGGAGGGTACCATAACATTACCACGCGCTGCGACGATGCTCCAGTACAAAATCCATATTGATCTCCGATATGTTGCATTTTCTCTGGACACTAGCGATGGCAATCCATCACTTCAGGAGTCTTAGATCTCTTTGTTTACGAATTCGGAGTATCGACTGTGAAGTCCCAAAAGGGATAATCAAACTAGTATTTCTGAACAAGTAATGAAATCTTGTTTACTCAGTTAAACTTCGAACGATAATCTATCGAAATTTCCGGGTATCTACAGGCATCTGTTGACGATCAATAATACTCAATATTTTCAATTATATTCTATTTTTTTATTTTGAATTAATTTAAGTTATGATTATCGAAACGGGTATACCTTATTATTTTTCAAATCTTTTGCAGGCAGAGAATAACTAACTTTGGTATATAAGTTTAACTCGTATAGGTATGTATTCAAAGAAAAACATCACAAATCATTTCTTCTATAAAATTCATTCTGAACATCATAGTATCCTCTTGACCGATAGGATGATACTTTTTCCAATCGACGAATTTCTTCTGGAGGATATAAATATGAACGTAAATCTGCATGTCTACCCATATATTCAAGTACGTAAGCAGCTGCCTTGGATAACTTTTCATGACCTAAAGGATTGATATTTCCTAGGGAATCACAATCACTGTGGTAACAAGGATCATATTCAGCATTTGCTACGCCGCCTTTTCCTTGACCTAACAGTCGGTTGTAATAATCCCTTTCTGCTTTTGGTTTTCTATCGCTGATACCTGAGTTTAAACCTGATATCGCAATACCAACAGCTAAAAACGATGCATAATCGCTTCCACCACCCAATTCGCTGATCGTATATGGAAGATTCTGACTGATGAACCAATCACGAAACAATTGTGTCAATCGAATACTACCGGGAAGTGCTGATGGTGGAGTTGTACTGAAGTTCACTGAATTTCCATCATAAATACCCATTTGAAAGTTAGGTGATGCCAACATATCATAATTAAGATTAACAAGATAATCCGAAATACGTTCGCCAGGAATCGTGCTGATAGTTGCTTGAGAAACATGATATTCAGAACCGACAAGACCGACTTCTTCTGCACCCCACCAACAGAATTTGACACGATACTTATAAGGTGGATAAGATCCACTTTGAAATAGACGCGCCAAATTTGTTGCCAAGACAAGATTTGTTGCAGTCCCACTAGCATCATCGTTCATTCCGGGACCATCGGGAACGCTGTCAGTATGGCTTCCGATGACGATCGTTTCTGTTGCATTGCCTGTCACTGTGTGAGCACAGATATTACCAACTGGCTCTGGATATTTGCTTGTTGAAAGATGAATTTTGATGAAAACATTCGTTTTCAAGTTTTCAATAGTATTTAATAATTTCGTACCGACTTGGTAAGACAGAGATAATGCAGGAAATGTTACATTCTCATCAACTCTTCCTGATGCTGGTGAATATCGATCTAATGATGTACCATCATTGTAAATCAGAAGACCAGCAACGCCGTATTTCGCAGCCAGAATCGATTTCTCAGTAAATGTGCAAACACCACGTTTGATAAGCACAACTTTACCACTCGGTGATGATGTAGTATTCAACCAATCCGAATCCTCACAACCGAAAGCAGGCATTGATATTAACTGAAACGTCGTCGCAAGACTGGACGATCCAGAATTTCTTAAACTGATGAAATCATTGCCTGAGCCATATGTATAATTCATTTCTAGACCATTGATCGTTGCTGATAGAACAGGGTCACCATTCAAACTGAATTTCATGTAAGGAAAAAATTCCGTTTGCACTTGTAGGTTTGTATTTGTTTTTAAATAACTGTATATATAATCGAAGGTTCGATTGAATCCTTTAGTATGAATAGCACGTGTTCCATTGCATTCATCGGCAATATTTTGTAATTGTTGCAAATGTTTCATTAAATCATCTGAAGATATGGAACATACTAACATGCCTTGATCACATTGGACATTTGTCTCCGATTTATATGTTCTTCGAACCACAATACCCAATACTGATGCTGTTAATGCAATTGTAACTATTGTTGAACAGAGGATTAATGCAAGGAGAATATAAAGTTTTGCTTTTTTCATCTTCGATCTTGCGCGTTCTTTTTCAACGATATGCACCACACAATACTGATAAGAACAATCTGTAATAAATGACTCTTTTTTTTTCAACCGTTCGATCAAGAATACGTTTGACAATGTTTGTCTCTGTATCATATTTCATTCAGATGTTTATCAAATGATATATGATCTTACTTTTTTGGATGTTTTTCAACAAAATGAATCAAACGTGAAGATATACGTACGTAACTATCATAAATAGTCGAAATATAATGGTAGAAGAAGAATTTCGGTTACGAAACGTCATACAATCGATTCTCCTGCGAATATCTTTTGTATTATGATAAGATAAAAGGCAGGAAATTGATTTCATTGTATAGATCAATTATGCTTTATCATTATTCATCATATTAATTATCCTTACAGTCATTCTCATCCTTTTCTACATACTCCAGAAATACCTGTTTCAACGAGCGCAACCGTATCAGCTGCGTTATAGTTACCTGTGAAGATTGCAAGTTCTTTGAAACGATTAATAGTCGTATTTCACAACATTGTGATAAGAATAACTTATAATCTCCAGTCACTGCTATGCGTTCGGTTATACTTGAAAATGTTGGCATCATTGATGAACCACATAATCCCGTGCATTGTAACTTCCATTCTGAAAGAAAAAAATTCGTAGGAGCAGCACGAAAACTAATCTCATCCAATGGACTCCACTCATCTAGTTATATAAAAAGAAGGACAAGTGCTTTACACATTTGATTGATACCAATTATAGACACATTTCTTTGATCATTAATTGTTTTTTTGAATGAGCTCGCGAATAACAGATCACTTTTGGTTCAAGTTCAAAGTATTAATATCAACAATGAGTTCCTATGAGAAACAAACAATATAATACTTGTTTTTTTCTATATACCTCGGTGATTCACACTGATCTCAAATGTTTTCACAGATGTTAGCAGGTGCTTGTTGTGTTCCAAAAATCCATCAATGATGGTTTCAACTACTATTGCGAAGTTGATTACCGAAGGTGTCCTCTCAATTATCCATAAACTCTCACTAGAGTACGACTTATTTACTCAGAAAAGACATTTAGGTAAATATAGTTATAAGGAAAATATTTATTGAAAAGAACGTAACATAGAGGCTTGGTTTTCTTTATAGACGGCATCGATGGGTAGCTGAAGATGTGAAGTTGAATTTCATGTAGTTTTTTAATATGATGGAAATCGATAGCTGAAAGTTACTTTGCGTTTCGTATACAACAATATGTTTTGCAATAAGTACACCAATAGTTCATTTGACTGTCTCTTTGTAAGCTGGACAAATTATCTGCGTGAGTTTTTCCAAATTCACGACAAAATTCGCAATCAACCACAATATTCTTCATAGATGTCTTCGAGAAATTTGTAGGACATTTTTCTACTTGTCGGCTACATTCATTGACTGTTGTACTTTGCGATCGTCGAGTAAATTTATTCGACATCTCTAAAAATCAGACAGGATTTTTTTAATATTCCTTATTCCACATGTTTAATATGAATATATAATATGTCGCTCACAGAGAAACACTTCTAGAATTTGAATTGTTGTAATAAAAATGTTTTTTTTTTTCGTTTTCATTTCGTATCTCTGTGTTTGATAAATCACCCCGACATAGATAACAATATTTAACGACGAAAACATTCGTTCGCTATTCAAAATTTTGCTTTATCATCAGACATATTCATGTTGGTTTTTATCTTAGTAGTGATATGAACAAATGTATTCGATAATTAAATAATTTTTTTGCGGACAATTTCAAGTCTTCTTTTTATATTATTTTAGAAAATTTAGGTGGGTTCATTATTTTGAAAAAGAATCCGATGAAGAGTTTTCATTTCATTTTTGCATTTATTTGTAACATGAGATTTATATTAAACAAGAACAAATGAATAACAAATGTATGTAGTGAGCTTCATGATTGGATCGTTCTTGATGAAAAAAAAACAGAAATGCGATCAGAAAGTAACAATGATAAACTAATTACTTTGAATAACAATTGTTTCAACTGAAATATGTGAAGGCTTCTAAGACTGATCTTTTATGTTATCACAAGAAAATTATTTTCATACATGCAAAATCTTATACATTGAGAGTACATATTTAAGAAAAAGAGAAAAATGCCAAACTCTATTCATTGTTTCATATTATACTCTAATGCCTACACGCCGAGTTAAACCAACAGTTATTCGTATCAAGAAGAGTGCATCAACAGTGAGTTATTTTGCCACGTTAGTCTACTGGATATCGGGATTAATTTCTTCTAGGCAAATCCGTCAATTACTAGTACGCAAAGTACAAATGAATTGTCGGCTGCTACACAGAGTCAACCAAGAAAGTCCAACGTTTCATCTGTTCATACAGAGAGAATAAGTCCATCACAAATCAATGTTAGCAGGACTAGTGGTTCAACGCGAGATTCCTCCATCAATGCGCAAAATGCAAATAGTTCCATCTCACATCAGGTTACACCAAGTGATGTAAGCTAATCGACTTGATGAGGCACTGAACTATTGTTAAATGCTTACCTTGTTACTTTAGACAGAGAAAAGTTATTTGCCAGGATTATTTTCACGGTTATCATCTCCTGGTAGTACAAACTCGATTTCACCATTGAAGGTACTTGTATATTACAATGTCAATTATGATATTCACTATATTATGCAATTTAGATAGGAGCATGGAATGATAAGGATGATGACGAAAATCGAAGAAATAGGCGAAGAAGGTAGCTTTCAACGAGCCTCTCATACGATCATATGTTTATTGTTTGATAAAGGGGTGCTTCATTCCATATAACAAGATGCTGTTGCTGGGCTTTGATTGCTGCGACGATCGCCGTGATCTTACTTGCAGCTTTGGTTACAGCAATCATTTGGCTTCGTGAGTATTTGTGAGGTCGATGTATGATATGAAGATGATTTGCTTCCTGATTTGATAGTTATGCAATCGAAAGTTACTACGACAACAACAACGAGTGAGTGACACATATTAAGAGAGATTTAGTAAGCTTCGAAAATATTGATTTTTCTTATTAAAGCTACGAGCACCACAGCAACAACGACAACAACGACTACTGCAACAACGACGACATCGTCCACTTCATCCACTTCTTCAACATCGTCAACATCAAGTACCTCTTCCTCATCATCAACCTCTTCAACTTCATCGACTTCCTCGACATCGTCGACATCGACCACTTCTTCCACTTCGTCTACCTCTTCAACTTCATCCACGTCATCAACATCCTCAACCAGCTCAACATCATCAACTTCGTCCACATCATCAACTAGCTCAACGTCATCATCAACATCATCAACATCCTCCACCAGTTCAACATCATCAACTTCGTCTACATCATCTACATCATCAACATCATCAACATCATCCACCAGTTCAACATCATCAACTTCGTCTACATCATCTACATCATCTACATCATCTACATCATCAACATCATCAACATCATCCACCAGTTCAACATCATCAACTTCGTCTACATCATCTACATCATCAACTAGTTCAACATCATCGTCAAGTTCAACTTCGTCATCCACATCATCGACGTCGTCTACATCAGCCACAACAAGTACGTCAAGTACATCAAGCACATCAAGCACAACAACAACATCAGCAACTACCACCAGCACTAGCACAACAACAACAACGACCACCGGATGTACCAGCTGTAAGTCTTTTGCGCTGTCGTGTCTGTATCTACTGATCATTTTTACGAATTCGTAGGTTCTAACTATTGTTGGAATACAATTGGAGCAGTAGTGGCTGAAACTAGCTCTAGTAACATTGCAGATCCTCGCGGCATTAATATAGATTCATACGATACAATTTATCTTTCCGGTCATAAGCTTGGATATGTTGATAGGTGTTCGACAAATTGTGTAAGTAGAAATGGAACAACGGCTGAAACGGATCATATTGATTACATTACGTTTGATAAAAATGGATTTATGTACACGAACGACCACAACGGCTACCGAGTTCGACGTTTTCCACCAGGCGCTTCAACTGGCAGCATTATTGCTGGATCTGGATCGTCTGTTACTGGTAATCTCACCTATCCTGTAGGAGTTGCGGTAGACAATAATCTAAATCTTTATATTGGCGACCAAAAGGCTGACAGTGTGTACATGTTGACTCCCAGTGGAACAAGTTTGTTTAATGTCATCAACACTGGTAGTGTCTTGAGTAAGATGTCCGCGCTTTTACTTCCGCATGGTTCATCAAGTGAAATTTACATGAGTGACGAAGGTGGTGCGAAAGTTTTTCTGTGGCCATTCAATTCTTCAACTCCCCGAGTAACATATACTAACGTTATCACTGGTAATGGAAATCTTAATAATCCAAGAGGACTGAAACTCGATCCTCTAGGTAATTTATATGTTGCAGATCAGAAGAATAATCGAATCGTCATGTACTGCGTCAATTCTACGAATGGCATTGTAGTTATGACCACTAGCGATAATCCTGTCGATCTTGCATTTGATTCCAACATGAATCTGTATACATACTTAAGTACTGGCAAAGTGATGAAACATAAATTACTGTAGATTGACTCTATCCTCTACTTTTAATAAATATTAACTATGATTGACATTTGAAGTTTTGTAATTTAAATACTTTTCTCTTTCTTCCTATATTTAATCGAAACAAATAAAAAAAGAAAACTCTCTCAAATCATATAAATAGACAGCACTCAATGCATCACATGTTTTAATAATCATCGGTCTTATAATAATATGTACCGTTCGTTTGTTATGAAAGATGGATAAACGACTGTGGTATAGTTTTAGCTTCGATTATCGTCAGTTTATTAACGATACATCGTCCGAGGATAATATGGCACAAGAATGAATTCTATGGTCATAGCCATGTCTTATGATCATCTTGAATTGAAAGGTTCACGGAGCAAACATATCCGAGTAAATACGAAGGTGTAGTAACCAACAATATAAATATTATCTATGCTGTTCATTTTCTTCTCTTATGATGTATTAATTATTTATTACATACGTACGAACAATAGTCTCTCACGTACGCGTGCATACAAGTGTACTCTCGAATAAAAATCAAGAAAGGATATTAAATCGTTGAACTCTATGGTTAGAAGGCTCACTAACATACATATTACCATACTGATCGAATACTAAAGCTTCAGGCGATTTGAATCGATAGTATTCGCATTCAACATCAACATTTCCATCAATAACGACAGTTCCTTCTGTTGCTCCCTTGACCCAACGCATTATTCGATGATTGGCACGATCTGCCACGTAAACTGCTCCGAGTGAATCGACGAACACTCCTTTTGGGTAGCTCAATTGTGTCACACTATTGCCTTTACCGTGACCACCAGCAACAATGACACCTTCTTTGGCGCCTTTTAACCATTTCATCACACGATGATTCTCAGTGTCAGACACGTAGACAGAATAGTCTTGATCGACAAAGATATGGGTAGGATCTTCAAATTGATTGAGACCTTTGCCTTTGCCATATCCGCCTGCTACCAGCGTTCCGTTTGTTTCTCCGAATCGATAACGTCGAACTTCATCTTTCCACGGATGAACAACATAGAGAGATCGTTGATTATCTAATGCGATCCCAGCACAAGAAATATTTCCTAGAATAATTTCACCAGCTGTGCCGTTTTCATAAGGCCAGCGCACAATCCTCTTATTCAGCTGATCACATATTATCAAACTTTCTTGATCGACGATAACCTGCTGCGGATAGTACAGCTCATTATTTTCTGAACCTGGATAATCATCACCAGCAACAACTTGCATTTTATACTTGTTAGGAACATCTAATCTCCATTGTTCAACGCGATGATATACCTCCTTAGTTACCAATATAGTGTCACCCTCCTGGCTTACACAAAGACCGAAAGGTTCAGTGGGATCATAAGTTCTTACGCCATGGTCAGTTACCTTGGTTAATTCGGTACCCCGCTGTGCCCATCTACTAGTTTCTGTAATATTTGGTTTGGCAGCTGAACACGAAAAATGGAATCCTGATGACGCCGTAGTCTCTTTAGGCTTATTCAACTGCCTAACAAGCGAGAATCTCTGTAGGATAGGACCATCAATGTCTGAAGCATATAGATCTCCATGACGATCAAATGCTATAAATCGACGAGTAGTATCATGTTTTCCAGGCAACGGACAGCCTTGTGTGACAATGGCGATGCCTTGTGTTGCATGTTTAAGCCAACGCATTACTCGACCGTATATCGGATCCACCGCATACACGGTGCCTAATGAATCAACGAACATTCCATATGAATGCACGGATCCTATTGAAATGCTCTGCGGATTATGACCCTCACCAATAAGTATTCCTTCTTCGGCATCTTTGGCCCACTTTACCACACGCCAATATTCCACATGATTCCATCCAAACTACAAATACGGAAAGTAAGCATGTGCAATATCGTATGTCGAGTAAAATTTACCGTAACTCTTGCGTCTAACACATAAACTGAATAATCTTGGTCGACAAAAATGGAAAGAGGAGTGCTGAGCTGATTGAGACCACCTCCTATGCTATTGCCACCTGCCACCACGGTTACATTTTCACCAACGCGATAGCGTTTCACTTCTCCTCCCCACAGATGTGTCACATAAAGCGAGCCTTGGTCATCTATTGCCAATTTCCAACATAGAATATCGTCAATAAACAGTTCGCCCTTTTCACCGTTTCGGTTAGGCCAAAACATAACTCGTCGGTTTCCGTAATCGCATATAAACATGCTATTTTCGTCTACAATTACATCTCTGGGATCATTCAATTGATGTAAGCCATTTCCTGGTCCATGGCCACCAATCACGACTCGACCTAGTGTTGCTCCTGCCTTCCATTCTAATATACGATGATTCTTAGAGTCAACACCAAATAATGTCTGATCTTTATCCATATAGAAATTTCTAATGTTAAGAGGTTGACCTTTTGTTGCATTTCTTTCAGGACCATGTAAAATAATCCTATTACGATACTCCCAATGAGCATTCATTGGAGGAACTTGAAAATAGAAATAACAAACTAATCATACAGATTCTTCATAACTCCTACCTATACGATTACTAAAAATTATTCCTTGGTAGGCACCTCTGATCCATTTCATCATACGCCTATTATTCCAATCGGAGACATAGATTGACTGTTCTGTGTCAACAAAGAGATGGCCAGGAAAATCGAATTGGTTTAGGCCATCGCCTTTTCCGTTGCCGCCAGCAACAATCCTTCCTCTCGTGTAATTATTGTCTCTAGAAAATCGTCGAATCTCATTATTATCTATAACACTCACGTAGAGATATTCCTGTCGATCTTGAGCTATGCCAAAACAGCTGATATTATGGATTACTATTATACCGCTTGTAGTATCTCGTTTGCGACGCCATTTGATGATTCGTCTATTGCCGGCATCACAAATGATAAAACTATTCGTTCTCTTGTCGATCAGAACATCTGTTGGCATACTGAATTGATTCAATGCATTTCCTCTTCCATGACCACCCGCTACTATTTGACCCGTTTTCCCACTTGTCTTCCACAATACAATACTGTCTTGGAACTGATCAGCAATGTACACCGTTTTATCTGTATCTACGAAGACGCCCAATGGATAGTTGATTTGCTCGCTCTCTACATCAGCCATAGATCGTTTTACTTTTACCTCTGTATGAGAAACGTTCTGCAATGGTACATTGGAAGATAGACTACAATTAGCCACTTAAATATCAACCAAAAATATAGTTTATCAGATTGAAATTATAATATCTACCTGTTTCGTTCGAAAACATCACTTTCAATGGCATTTTAGTCAGGATTTCGGCTAATCTTGTCAGAGTTAGATTGACCTGATGGTAGTTTTCAGTCGATATATTCCAGTCAAGCCATTCTATAGCATGTAATTTGGCCATTGCACTGGACACACTCTTCAACGGTTCAAGAACAAGTTCGAAATCCATCATATTAACTAATGCATCTTGTAGTACTTTTGATGAACTGAATACATGAACTAGATGAACTTCAACACCTTTAATCTGACTTATTAAAGAAGCCATTAATTTCTGCTGTTCCCGTTGTTCGTTCAGGGTCGATGCAGTTGTTTGTAGTCGAGCATTTGTAGCATTCAATCGCACTTTAGCAGTCCCTAATTTTGCTTGTTTGTTCACAAATTTCTCTTGCAGAGTTTGAAGACGTTGATAGGCATGAGCGAGATTGTCTTCGGTGATTATGCGTGTTCTCTTTGCTCGACTGATGCAAGTGCGATTAATTACACGACATATTGGTTTAGCGAGTATTCCTAATATTCTCAGAACAAAACCCCAAACTCCTTTGCGTTTTCGTATGTAACACACTAGTGCTCGTTTCACTTCCTCANGTGAAGATAGTAGATGATAATGAGATAGATAGCAGTGATGATATACCACCATGATGGCGAATTACTTTTTTTTCGAAAAACCATTAATAACCGCGGTATTATCAAACCGCGGTTTCGGCCGGTGTGAGAGAACCTAATAAAAGGTCTGACTTTCGCGGTTCAATTAAACCACCGACAGCAACCCCCTCTCGCACCGTGATCTACCGCGGTTTTGATCGAAAAATTTGTTTCCCGGGTATTCAGAAATTCTTGCTGATCAATACGACAACCAGCATTCTTGGGATACGGATCATATATGAACTGAAAAAAAGTCGTCTTTAAATAGTGTTCTCCTAGCATTAGAAGGAATTTTTCATCAGACAAAATTTAGCTGAAACTACAAATCATATCATTATTTTCTTTCATTCTGTTGCACCACGTCATATACGGACAAACGCATCTGACTAACTGCTATTTGATAATAACGACGAGGCAAAACGATGTATGTCATCGTTTTCTTTCCTCGCATATAAATACCTGCATTCACTCAGCACGTGTCGGCGTTATTCTTATCTTGACTATAGTTTTCAAATATGTCGACTTACAAGCTTTACTATTTTAATGTACGTGGTGTTGCTGAAGTATCGCGCTTGATTTTTGTTGCTGCCGACCAAAAGTATGAAGATATTCGTTTTGAGCGCGATCAATGGCCAGCTCACAAGAGTCAGATGCCTTTAGGTCAACTGCCTGTCCTTGAAGTCGATGGCGTCCAACTACCACAATCAGCAGCAATTGGTCGTTTTCTTGCTAAAAAATTTCATCTCGCTGGCAAAGACGATTTTGAACAAGCAGAAGCTGATGCTGTCGTAGATACAATCTATGATATCATAAAAGCATATTCACCCGTTTCACAGGAACCAGATCAATCGAAAAAGCAAGAATTGACAAAAAAGTTCTTTGCGGAACAATTACCAAAACATTTACAAAATCTTGAAATTCTCGGTAAATTATACGGAAATGGTGGTGTATACTTTGTGGACAATCACCTTACATGGGCTGATCTATTCTTTCACACATTTGGCGAAACTCTTCTCGGAATAGACGAACACATATTGAACAATCATCCATGGCTAAAGCAAAATCGTACAGAAGTGGAAAAACATCCTCGGATTGCCGAATATCTCAAGAATCGATCCAAATCACCGTTTTAATTGACCGAAATCTAGACTTTCATTCTTGAGAATGTTAAAATGACGTTGTTAAAGTTTCTTCTATGAGTTGATCATAGGACGAAATATTTCATGCTTGACAAGAAAGACGAACACATCAAAGTCATGTTACTGTTGATGTCTATTGAAAATCTCATTGCGTTTTCTAAGCAGATCATGTTGACGAGTCAACTTTCATGCGTTTGATTTCGCTTTCACTCTCTGCACGTTGAACATTCATTCTTCCACTCCGTCTCAATAAATCGAACCGATTGTTTGACTCTTTTTTGCCGCATCGTGTCTGGCAACTGTGTAGAAATGTTCCGATTTGTTCGACGTTGCGAATGCCTATTTCCAACATTCGTAGTTGACATGGAAGCATTGAACACACATTTTCAAACGGTATGTAAATGCCGTTTTCGCCGAGTATAGGAAACATTTTCAGCCAATGAAGGCTATGTACCCTTTCGAACCACAGATGAGCTCTGCAGCATTGTTTATGATGATGTCACACTGAGAATTTTCTCATGAAGAAGTTCTGAACAGTACACAGTTGTTGAAGTTATTTTCAGCTGAAAAGATATCACATTTGTGTTGGCACATCACTGACACAATTTGATTATAAGAGAAAAGATCTTCTGAACAGTTAAAACCACATCCTCTCATTAGTATTCATACTCGCAACTTTCTGAACATGAGGGTAGGAACGATGGATATGTCACTCATATCGTCACCTTTAATATATTCTCAACGCAGAAGCATAAAAGCAATTTGCAAAAACATGAGACGCATTCAACAGCAAAGCGAATAAATGATTTATCCAACCAGATTTCAGAAGAAGTTCAATGTATTTCGCCATTTTTAGACAGCTATATGATTCTTCGAATACGTTGCTGAAATTGTGCTATTGAATTTCGACATTCCTTTCTATAGAATTCTGAAGGAATAACAAAAATAATAAAAGTAATCATTGGTGGAATAAATGAAATAAAGTATCCACCAAGAAATATTGATGAATCTCGTGCTGAATTCATACATTGTGATACATAAGAGAGAATCAAACGGGGTAATGCAAGAAGAAATAAAACAATAGGCCCAATTAATAAATGTCGATGCTCTCGAAGGTGTTTACGCAATTCATCTGAATAGGGTTGATTTTCATGTAAATTAGACTGTTGACGAGATTTTTTTGTTATTAAAATAATCGATGAAATAAAGTTAATTAGAAATGGAATGAAAAAATGAAATGTGTTTATAATGCGGTTATAAATTTGTAAATTTGAAGAATAACTAACAACACACCAAATTCTTTTATGTTCATTATTTTCAGTTTCTTCTTCTGTCAATTTACGATAAATCGGATCGTGAATTGATGTCAAAACATTGAAAGTTACGAGAAGAAGAGTAATTTTCTTTGCTAATGTTTTACTTTTCTTTCTATTAAATTGAGCGCCTTGAATAACAGTTACTGATCTTTCTAAAGCAACACATGCATTTAGCCATTGGTCCATATTTAAACAAATTCGAAGAAGGAAATCTAATAAATGACATTGAATTTTAAGAAATGATTCATTCGATAAAGATGACATTTGTGTCGAAAGATAAATAAAATATTTTGATGCAAACATGAGCATTGTTAATATTGTTGTTACGGACGAACCAAATAGATAAATTCCACAACCGACTTCACGTACATTTTGGCTTTGAAATGTCATTAACGAAAGTATACCATTAATTATCCCAAAGATAAAAAATAGAGTTGTTAATGCAAAACTTATTTTAACAACTGTTGCTTGACCAATAAATTCAACATCTGGAATAATATGATATGCTAAGATAGCATCTAATGATAAACCAAATTCACTTGTGCTATGCTGACAACGAGCTCCAAAATAACATGAATGACAAGCACAAATAATTTGTTTTGGACATGTTGGTGAATCTTGAAAACATCGACCTCCATTTTCACAAGCACTTTTCCCAGAACAATCGAACTTCATTTCATGGTCAAAATCAGCACAATTTGCTAAGCGCTTCCCATTAAACTCATAACATAAACAAAGATTTAAATCATCATGAAAACATTGTAAATGAGGAGAATGTTGTCGACAAATTACATGATAATATTTCATACGACGAAGAACATGAAGTTGAGCAAATGTTTCATTTGTCAATTCATTAATTGATGGACAACGATGTGATGAACTAATCTGTAGAGTTCTTTTTGTTGAAGGAATATAATTTGGTTGAAGAAAAGCTAAGTAAAAGATCTTATCCAATGTTTCAATAAAAATTAAATGAAATTGTTGTGACCAATAAAATCTGATTGAATTTGTTGCTTGAGATATCGTTTGTAATGTTGTTGATCTTTCTAATGTTTTACCTAATTTTGGGTTGTAGTTGTTGATGATTTCACCTGGCATACGCATCGTGATAAAATGAATAAAAACTGATTGAGATATATGCAAGTCATTATCGAATATAATATTAATTTGATTACTATCTACTTCACATTGACGTCCACTAAAACCTTTTTCACATATACAACTATATTTTGTTTCATTTGTCGTCATAAAATCATCGCCTGGGATACATAAACCATTATGTAGACATGGAAAACTTTCGCAAACTCGGTTCTTAAGATAACAACGAGGACCAAATCGGTTCCCTTGACATACACAGATTGATCGATTATCAGCTAACACACCAATACATAATGATTTTTTTGATGAACAAGTGCAATTATGTTGAACATGACAATACTCTCCGGACCATCCTTCATCACATTGACAAAATGTTTTTTCATCATTGACATATTTCATACATTTTCCATGCTGACATTGCTGATTTGAGCAAGAATAATCACTGACTGATGGAATATTGATAATGAATGCTAACCGATGAACGGGTAAAAATAAAAATTTCAGGGGATAAAGAAAGCTTCCTCGGTAACGAAGAGAATTCTTTTCATAAATATCAATATGAATTGAATAATTTCTATTCATATCTTTTGGTCGAGTTGAATAAAATAAATGAAAATTAAATTTAACGTCGCAATCTCGTGCCGATAAATAAGTGAATTGTTCATAAGAATGAATTATTCGTCGATTTGTATCATCAATCAATAAAGCCAATATCGTCAATGGAATTTGCCATGATTCAGTTGACACACTGAATTGTATTACTAAACTTATACGTTCATTTTGATATTGACATTGATTACCATAATAGCCGGGTGGGCAAAGACACGTACTTGTATATCCGTACAATGACTCATTTAGCCAAACACGTAAATCAAGACCACGATGACAACGTCGTTCATCAAGTAGTGAAGTCCGAGCAGTATAACTTGGATTAAATGTATTCTCTACCATGCGTACCTCTGATCTATCGAACCCAGGAATTCTAAAATATTGATTTCCTGTTGGATAAAAAGGAAAATTGCTTACGAAGAGTCGAAAAAAATTCTGTACAATAGGGCGGTGTAAAACAGAATTCAATTGAAATGTATCATCAACGACTGACATTGATTGACCTTCTGGACAAAATTGTTCATCCTCTCCATTTGGACACTCCTTTACGTCATTGCAGAAATTAATGGAGGACAAACAAATTGGTGGTTTGCTGTTCGCACAATAAAATCCGTCAATCCAACCCACGAAATTTTTACGACGGCATATCCTTCGTTCATCGGTTCCACCAAAGCAATCAACTTGACCATCATTAATTTTATTAAGTGGTAAACATGTCACATTAAGCGTGTCTAATGCGACACATATTCGTGTTTCTGAGGAACAATTAAGCGTAATTGGTAGTCGATTACAATCCATTTCATCCCTTCCGTCCCAACAATTCCATCTATCATCGCAATGAGTATATAAATTATCACACTCCCATTGTTCGCATTCAGTTTCATCTGTATGATTTTGTCCGTCGATTGTTATTGGATATAATACCTTGAAGCCGTCACACAGTGTCAGGAACGATATCATTCTTTGAGTCAAATTACTGCCACGTCCTGTAACTTCGCAAAAGTCATCATCGAAACTACAGTAATGTTTTTTGTCGGTATAACCGTCTATTGGATATATTCGCTCCATGTAGGTGGAATCATATGTATTTTCTATAAATCGAGTAAATGACGGATAATTCTCCTCCTTCAATATGTTTTCATCGTCACCATATGGACAATCGCGTATATTGTTGCCAACACGTCGAAATCCAATACATTTCGACGAATTGGTACATTGATATAAATTGAATGTATGACATTGGTTCGAAGAATAACTTATTATTGGATTGAAGTTTCTTATTTGATCGAAAATAGTCGTCATGGTCTTCAAATAAGTATATCCTTTCAAATTTAGGTAGGTTATAGTATCAATTATAGGTCGAGGGAAAACAAAACACGTTAGATTGTTTAATGATATATCTGAAGCTAGTTTAAGTGAGCCATCATGAAAAGATTTATTTGAACATAAATAAGGTACGGCGAACTGGTTTGAATTTAACACATCATTCTTTTTATAAGCTGTAAAAACATGGCCAAAGAATACTGGAACATTGGGAAAATACAGCGCATCTGGACATTCTTTTGTTATAGCAGGTATATATCTGTTTGCATTACCAAAGACATTACTTTCTAAATAGTCTCTAAAAGCGAACCAGCATTTTTTCGGTATAGAACTGTCTTGTATTGAAAACATAGCGTCAATGAGTTCCCACGTACGATAGTAATCACAGCTGCTTGTTAAAAATGTAGCTGCGCATCTTAAATCGTCCAGTCGGACATAAGTCTCCGCCTTACTAAGAAAGCCATTATGTACAGTAAAACGATCGTGTGCTTCATCAGAACCGTCAAGACAGTCATGACTCCTTAGATGATCATCAACAAATTCAATCGGTATACATTGCCCCATGGTACACTGATATTCATTTTGTTCACACTGATTCAATTCAAGTTGCCAACAATGTTCTTCATCAAGATTTCCATCGAGACAGTTAACTACACCATCACAAATTTCTGACCAATCTAAACATATTGGCAAAGGACTGCGATTACATTTCAAATGAGTAAAACAAGTCGTATCGCTAATAAAATCATTATCATATCTATAATAACTAACTAGTTTAGAAAATGTTCCATATTCTCCAAGATCATAATATAATTGGTACTGACACATAGGTCCGAATCTTGGTAATGTACAAATGTACACAGGTTGTTTTTGCCAAGATGAATCATTTGATTCTAAATAATATTCATACTGTTCAATTGTATCAATTGGTACTGACCATTCATATAACTGTTGGCTTGTGATATTTTTCTTAACAAGATCATCAAAATAAAATATTTCCACTGAGTTATCAGTTTTAACAGAGAATTTCGATGATAATTCACTCATACAGAATGATATAATATCTCGATCTATATTTCGCCTTTCCATAGTTTCAACAAGTCGTAGGCAATTATATCGGATACCTATCTCGTCGAATTGGTCGAAACTTATCTGATCGGCAAAATAAAGATTTAATTGAAGCTGAGTTGTGACACAGCATAGAAAAGTCGAATAGAAGATATATTTTATATAAAACATGATTGGCTTCTACGAAAGAATACAGATGAAAGGATCGCATATTTATATGAATAATTTTATTATTCTATGACGTCAATTCATTAAACTCATTTGTTCCGATTTGATAGTAATCAGATTTCAAATCGATGTGAAGTCGCCACCATTCAGATAGCACCAGAAAAAATTCATACAAAACCTTATGTTCAAATGAATTCTCGTCTGTGAATATAAGTCCATCTGACGCAGAATTTGATTCTGCATCGAATGGTGCTAACTCCGCACTGAGATTTCAATATTAATGCATTTGTTATTAGTTAACGAAAAAACTAATTTCATTCCTGGAAACCTTTGTAAAAATCGAGAAGAATAATCGAAAATAAAACTCATGGTTCGATGATTTTCAGATATCTATTTGTAAGAGATGAAAAAAGAAATTTTGAATGTTAGAGATAAGCATAGTGCTGTTCATTTGTTAGAATATTTTTTAATGGATTTAAATTGACGTCAAATGAAGCAATCGACGTAATAAACATTATTTATGCAAATAGATAAAAAAAATTAATCATATTCTAATATTTGCTACATAAATAACCATTTGAAATTTTTTTTTCTCCTTGACGAAAGTGGGTAGGTGAGCAGAACTTTCCTGACGCATTTTATCTTTTGCGAACAAAGAACAATTATTCTCTTATTCCAGGATCTTGAGTTGTTGAATAGTAGACAACTTCGCATGTTATAATAACATCGAATGGAAATATTATACTGATACTAAATTTGTCTTGTGTTTCAATGACATCTATTTGTAATGTATTTCTAATTCCTCGTCTTATAGGTTGAAATGAAATGCGAATCGTTTTTTATCGGTTCTGTTACGATCGAACAAGACGGTGCGACTAAACTGTAATTCTACTGAAGGCAGGTAACAATGGCCGATCGAGAGCAAACTCAATTTGATGACACTAATAAAATCAAATCAATAAGTATACTTTTAAAAACGGATCTACGGAAACAACTATATCAATTACAATTTGTTTTAGCTGAACAAATAGCTGAAATCAATGTTGATGATGCTGCATCAGATTCTGATGAAGAAGCAGCAGCAGCGTCAGAACAAGAATGGAAATTTTGGCGTACACAACCAGTAACGCCTCTTGGAATAAAAGTAGCTAAGGGAAAAAATGGACCTATCGAAGAAAATAAACATATTGAACAATTAAAACAAGAACCATATGAATTACCAGATGGATTTTCATGGAGTGAAATTAATGTTTCTCATGATGAACAATTAAAAGAATTGTATACATTCCTGAATGAAAACTATGTAGAAGATAATGATAATATGTTTCGCTTTGATTATTCAATGCCACTTTTACAATGGTAAAGCATTAAGAATTCTAAGAAAGAAATTCATTGTTGTGATTATTTGTAGGGCTTTGTGTTCGCCAGGATGGACTCCAAAATGGCATGTGGTTATACGTCATACAGAAAGTCGTGAAATAGCAGGATTTTATAGTGCTGCGCCTATTAAAATAAAAGTATATGACAAGTAAAATATACAACGAGAGAAAAATAATTCGTTTGATTTTGATCTCCTTCATAGAGAATTGCCGATGATTGAATCGAATTTTTTGTGTGTTCACAAAAATTTCCGTCTAAGACGTTTGACGCCGAAGTTAATCGCTGAACTATATCGACGGGTTAATTTAAGTGGAATTTTTCAAGGTGTTAATACAGCTGGTGTTCTTTTACCTGGTGTTGTTGGCAAATGTTTGTATGTATATTAGTCATTTATAAAACTTCGGTTTGATGGAAACGATTTCTTATAAGCACAGATATTGGCATCGATTAATTAACGTCGAAAAATTATTGTCTGTCGGATTTACTCAGTTGGGTAGACGGATGACATTACAGATGATGAAAGAAATGTATCAATTACCCAAAGTAGATTTCTATTTTTGAATTTAATTGAATAAATATCACTAAATTTAGACAACACGAGTAAGAGGCTTTCGTGAAATGCGTGAATCTGATATACCGAAAGCACTTACTCTACTCACTCAAGTAAATAAAATACATCGTTAGACTTGTGCAAGATAATTCTTCTCTTCTTTTATTAAAGTATTTAAAAACATTTGATCTGTCGCCGGTGCTCACTCAAGAAGAATTCCAATATCTTTGCCAAAATCGTCCAAACATTGTCAGGTCGTTTGTTGTTGAAGTATATCCAGAACAGAATATTGTACTTAAATTAAATTCATTCTTTTGTTTTCTTTTAAGCAAGAAAATGGTGAAATAACAGATTTTGTTTCGTACTATCATCTGTTAACAACAGTTCTCAATCACCAGCAACATAAAACATTAAATATATGCTATCTCTATTATTATGCTGCAAGCCGTACATCACTTTCTGATCTTATTAATGATTGCCTTGTAGAAGCGCATAAGGTAAATGAAAAAACCACAGATATAGCTTCAAAGTTCTCTACTTTCAAGAGTGATTGTGATGTATTCAACGCACTTGATGTCATGGACAATAGAAAATTTTTCCGACAGCTCAAATTTGGTGAGGGGGATGGAATTCTTAATTATTACATTTACAATTGGCAATGTCCAAGGATAAATTCAGAAAAGGTTTTCTTATTAAATCGAATTTTGTATTTCTTACTTATGTATCGAATTTTCATTTTAGATCGGATTACTACTCTTATAAGAAAACAAAAACATCATTTTCTCTTTTATTGAATATCTATAAGCAAGAAAGAATTTATTTAAAACGAAATATACAGCAATACATAATCTCGTAAATAATTCTATCTCTAATAGAATATACAATGAATCTTATGTCAAGAGAAAGCCTGTAAGATGATCAAAGTTTAAACAAGTTCTTAGTGATCAGAAAGCCTATACATCACACCTTCACCCCTCGTTCATTTGGAATTTCTTATATTGACATTTGATTGCGGTGATCAGTTTTGTTGAATTGCCAATTATTTTTATCTTCGTCCCTTTTCAGTCATATAACTATTTCATATTCATTTTAATCGATTAAAATGTTTTATTGGGTGGTATGATAATCAAGATAAGAGACAAAATATTTGTTTTGCATCACTTGTATACAGAGTATACATGGTCGTCTTGGTGAATACATCTAATAAAATAACTGACCTTGATTAGAAATGCAGGCGCTAGTGACTAAATTACCCAAGCGGGCATTTTCAAAACGTCTTTTCTGACAAATATCTTCAGTAAAAGTATCTCTGTGCTGTACATACTGACTAAAAGGCAATTTTACCCCTTGACAAAGTCGCAAATGTTGATTAAGTTTGTAGTGTATGAAAAAAAGATGATTTTATTCGAAAGTGAAATGTACATTAAAAAACTGTTTGTTTTCTTCTTTATTCAACGTACATAAAACACCAATGACTCAACATGGGAAGAACGAAAATAGTTACATGCATACTATTAAACAATGTTCGAGTGCGCCCTCTACTGTAGAGGGGCGTAAACATCTCCACAATTAAAAAAAAACAAATTCTATTTTTACACTTCAATCCAGAAATAATTGTCTCAAAAGAAAATAACAGAAGGTGAGCGGATCATGTGGTTCGAATGGATGTGGATTTACAATTGGGAGATCATCGTTGTCGTGGCGAGTTTCGTTAGCCACGACAGGCGGCAGTTGAAACAGTTGCACTCCGCCGTAAGCGGTACGAAGAACTGGCGGATTGTTGTCTTCAATCCATGCATACATCTGCGCAGCGACATTGAAATAACGTTCAACTGTATACTTACTCATTCCATTAGGCTTCTGCATTTTTTCAAATCTCTTTCGTCTTTAGGCCTCCTCTGAAATGTTAAAATTCCAACTAAAGAGTAACTATGATTGCCAACAGTAAAATATATACAGAAACTACTATGTTTATCAATTTATCAAAAGTAATTTGCAATTAACGTGGAAGTGATGATGGCTGTTGCGATTTTTTCCAGTTTTGTTTACGACAAGCGCGGATGATGATGTGACATAAACAGGTTCCGGCAGTTTTTTTCGTATTTTACAGGCGTCATACATGATGTCGCAACAAAATCATCATTGACTACGACTCTACCAGTGATTTTTGATGAAGCAAAACAGTTTTCCTCGACCGTATGACAGATGCGTTTCACATTTTCCGTGTTTCCATGCGATAAAATGTTATGATGCAAGTTGTGCTTGTGATGATGCAAACGACAGTGAAGATGGAACATCGATATATTTACCTTCGAAAAAGTCGGAATACTTCTGCTCCAAAGTTTTCGAATAATAGTGTTTATTTCAGTAAAACTTGAATTATACATACACTAAGCGGTCAATTACTTTCAGCAAAAATGTTTACCTGTTTGCATTCACACCCTCAAGATTGGGGTTTGACATTGATATAGACGAATCGTTGAATATCCGGTCGATGTTTTTTTGCCCGCCGAATTCTTTCGATCCCACGTCGTGTTGGATCAATAGCAAAAAAGTATTTGAGAATATCCATAATAATAACAAACAATACAACACTTATCATTGCTAAAATTGCAATGAAAGCAAAAGATTTCGATACGATTCGATGTACACGGAGTTTCGTTGNTTATCATTAAACCATTGCTTGATTTCTTTACTGATATTTTTGTCGAAATGAAACTTTAGTCTTGACAAATTGTCACAACGTTCAAGAAATATTTTCATCTGATCTAAATGCTTAATCCTTATTTCTAAACATTGCAGTCGATGTTGAAGTATCGAAAGAATACTTTCAAGCTGCGAACTTGTTACGAACTCCAAAAATTCTCCATAGATTTCCAAACAGCGAAGATTTTGTGCTTGTTCCAACCAAGAACATACTAATTTCAAGACATCTTCACTAACTGACTTTTTACAATGGTAAGCTAATGTCATATACACCATATTTGTAATATCAATAGCCATCAAGGTTAATGGCAATAATGATCCAGACCATGATGAATAAAAAACAAGTGTTAGATCAGTAATTTTGCTAAAACGATAGTTATTAAATATTTCCTAAGAATAATGACGTAAGATCGAAGCGAGTTACAATCAAATCTACATACTTGTCTCTCAGCACTAACATCAATAGATTCGTCTAGTTCTACACTTATTCTCTTAACATTATTGTGTTCTGTTCTCATTGTTGTTGCCAGTGAAGGCAGTTGAGTGAATTCTAGGTCGCAAACGAGTTCACGTGTACATAATGGTATGGTGTAAATGCGAATGTTAGATAAGGATTTAGTTCGATATTCAACTATAATGAACCATTGTTTCTGTTCGATCCAAAATGGTGTTTGAAATGTAGTATTGAACGTCTCGAGTTCGTCTAACGTTCTTTTATCAATGCAGATGGGCCGGAGAAAGAACTCAAATCTCTTTAATTGAGGTAGATTTATTTCCAGGAGATGCTGCCAACGGTGACCATCAAGGTTCAAATTTGAGTAAGGACCAATAATAGTCAAGTGATTCAATGAAGGAACCATTGCTAGAACTAATTCAAGTATTTCGATATCTTCCATAAACTCCTCAAGAGTTAGAGATCGTATTTGATGAAAAGCACTCCGTGGTTTGAATTCTCGCACACCATTGAAATCAAGTCGACCGAGATCTTCTTGGAGAACAACTGTATGTAAATGAGGGCAAGACTGAAATATTTCATATAGATCGTTTATCTTGTTCCAGTGACGAACAAATAAGTATCGAACCATGGAAACAGTACCATAGCCAGTTCGTAATACGTTGAGATACGACAATGAAAGACGTAATTGACGAAGTCCTGGTTGTGTGATGATTGATGTAAGTAATTTTTCCGTGACCTGGGCAATTCGTCTTCCTGGATGTTTGATACTCATGCTGAACGATGTAATGAAAGTCAGATTGGCATATTTCAGCAAAGAATCGAATTGATTTTCATTGATATTCTCAAGCACTAAATTTTGAAGTCGAGTGAACGATTGAAGATGCCGAACATTTGATAGAAATAAATCAATTTCATTTAATCCATCGTACTCATTCGTAAGCGTTAATGAGATGACCTGTTGTGGATTTATCAGTCGACAGAGAAGACGAAAATGTTGTTGCGAAAGAGCTGTGAAGTTCACTGAGTATCGATTGTATGAGTTGACCATTGACCGAAAGGATCGCGACAGCACTCGTACTGAGAGTAGGACTGTTTGTGCATCGAGAAAATCAAAAACACGATGTAGTACCTCTACTGGCAATGCATCCATAACTAGGAAAAAAGAGAATGTGTGAGGAACAGTTTATCTTTCATTCGATGAGTAAGGCAGTTAGTAAATAGTTATCCAATTGAAAAGAGCTGTTTAACTACTTTGACTAATATGAGATGTCGCTGGCTCATTATCTCAATTTAAATTCTCGTCAACTACGAACTTATGAGGTAGAAATTATTCTTTATAAACAGCAATGCTGCGCGAAATTGTATCAAATAGGTCACACAATGTTAAGTTTCTCTTAAATTGAAAGAAGTGTGCGCAAAGAATACAGCTTTTATGAATTATTTTTGTCAATGAATGCTATTTTCAAGTGTTTATTTTCATTCTATACACTGTAGAACGATAACAGTCTGTTTAGTTTCAAATAATTTAACTGCACAAGTTGTACAGACTAGCAACACGGTTAGTGAAACGATTGCATGATGACGCTTTGTTCCGTCGCTCATATGAGAAACCATAAAGCACATGCTATTTATTGAATCATATTTTAATCTTTCATTACTCAACAACGGTGCAACATAAAATTCTCCTTCATTATTCAAATAATCCCTAACTGTCCAAATGGAATAATACGATACATGACGATTATTGAGAATATATGTAACCTATAGGAAATTGTGTTTTACGTAAATAATATTATCCTAGCATTAGAAGGAATTTTTCATCAGACAAAATTTAGCTGAAACTACAAATCATATCATTATTTTCTTTTATTCTGTTGCACCACGTCATATACGGACAAACGCATGTGACTAACTGCTATTGGATAATAACGACGAGGCAAAAAGATGTATGTTATCGTTCTTTTTTCCTCGCATATAAATACCTGTACTCACACAGCACGTGTCTGTGTTATTCTTATCTTGACTAGTTTTCAAATATGTCGACTTACAAGCTTTACTATTTTAATGTACGTGGTGTTGCTGAAGTATCGCGCTTGATTTTCTTGCTGCTGACCAAAAGTATGAAGATATTCGTTTTGAACGCGATGAATGGCCAACTCACAAGAGTCAGATGCCTTTAGGTCAAATGCCTGTTCTTGAAGTCGATGGCGTTCAACTACCACAATCAGCAGCAATTGGTCGTTTTCTTGCTAAAAAATTTCATCTCGCTGGCAAAGACGATTTCGAACAAGCAGAAGCCGATGCTGTCGTAGATACAATCTATGATATCATGAAAGCATATTCACCCATTTCGCAGGAGCAAGACGAATCGAAAAAACAAGAATTGACAAAAAACTTCTTTGTGGAACAATTACCAAAACATTTACAAAATCTTGAAATTCTTGGTAAATTATATGGACATAGTGGTGAATACTTTGTGAACAATCAGCTGACCTGGGCCGATCTATTCTTTCACACATTTGGCGAAACTCTTCTCGGAGTAGACGAACACATATTGAACAATCATCCATGGCTAAAGCAAAATCGTACAGAAGTGGAAAAACATCCTCGAATTGCCGAATATCTCAAGAATCGACCTAAATCACTATTTTAATTGACCGAAATCTAGCTGTTCATTCTTGAGAATGTTAAAATGACGTTGTTAAAGCTTCTTCTATGAGTTGATCATAGGACGAAAGATTTCATACTTGACAAGAAAGACAAACACATCAAAGTCATGTTACTATTGATGTCTATTAAAAATCTCATTGCGTTTTGTAAGCAGATCATGATGGCGAGTCAGCTTTCATGCGTTTGATCTCGTTTTCACTCTCTGCACATTGAACATTCATTCTTCCGCTCCGTCTCAATAAATCGAACCGATTGTTTGACTCTTTTTTGCCGCATCGTGTCTGACAATTGTGTAGAAGTGTTCCGATTTGTTCAACGTTGCGGATGCCTATTTCCAACATTCGTAATTGACGTGGAAGTATTGAACAGACATTTTCAAACGGTATATAAATGCCGTTTTCGCCGAGTATAGAAAATATTTTCACCCAACGAAGACTATGTGCCCTTTCGAACGACCGATGAGCTCTGCAGTACTCTTTATGATGATGTCACACTGAGGATTTTCTCATGAAGAAGTTCTTTTACAATGTGTGAAACCTCATTCATTCCAAATGCACTTCGATTTATTCACTATATCTAGTTGATGATCAGTTCAACATTAAATGAAATTGGAACCGAAATTCTCGAAGAGAAAAGTTCTGAACAGTACACAGTTGTTGAAGATATTTTCAGCTGAAAAGATATGACATTTGTGTTGGCACATCACTGACACAATTTGGTTATAAGAGAAGATCTTGTGAACAGTTAAAACCACATCTTCTCATTAGTATTCATACTCACAACTTTCTAAAGATGAGGATAGGAACGATGGATATGTCACTCATACCGTCACCTTTAATATATTCTCAATGCAGAAGCATAAAATCAATTTGCAAAAACATGAGGCGCATTCAAAAGCAAAGCGAAAAAACGATTTATCCCAGCCGATTTCAGAAGAAGTTCAATGTATTTCGCCATTTTTAGACAGCTATAGGATTCGTCGAATACGTTGTTGATATTGTGCTATTGAATTTTGATATTCCTTTCTATAGAATTCTGAAGGAATAACAAAAATCGTAAAAGTAATCATTGGTGGAATAAATGAAATAAAGTATCCACTAATAAATATTGATGAATCTCGGGCTGAATTCATACATTGTGATACATAAGAGAGAATCAAACGTGGTAATGCAAGAAGAAATAAAACAACAGGCGCAATTAATAAACGTCGATGCTCTCGAAGTTGTTTACGCAATTCATCTGAATAGGGTTGATTTTCATGTAAATTAGACTGTTGACGAGATTTTTTTGTGATTAAAATAATCGATGAAATAAAGTTAATTAGAAATGGAATAAAAAAATGAAGTGTGTTTATAATGCGGTTATAAATTTGTAAATTTGAAGAATAACTAACAACACACCAAATTCTTTTATGTTCATTATTTTCATTTTCTTCTACTGTCAATTTACGATAAATCGGATCGTGAATTGATGTTAAAATATTGAAAATTAAAAGAATAAAAATAATTTTCTTTGCTAATGTTTTACTTTTCTTTCTATTAAATTGAGCGCCTTGAATAACAGTTACTGCTCTTTCTAAAGCAACACATGCATTTATCCATTGGTCCATATTTAAACAAATTCGAAGAAGAAAATCTAATAAATAACATTGAATTTTAAGAAATGATTCATTCGATAAAGATGACATTTGTGTCGAAAGATAAATAAAATATTTTGATGCAAACATGAACATTGTTAATATTGTTGTTATGGACGAACCAAATAGATAGATTCCACAACCGACTTCACGTACATTTTTGCTTTTAAATGTAATTAACGAAAGCATACCATTGATTATCCCAAAGATAAAAAATAGAATTGTTAATGAAAAACTTATTTTAACAACTGTTGTTTGATCAATAAGATCAACATTTGGAATAATACGATATGCTAAGATAGCATCTAATGATAAACCAAATTCACTTGTGCTATGCTGACAACGAGTTCCAAAATAACATGAACGACAAGCACAAATAATTCGTGTTGGACATGTAGGTGAATCTTGAAAACATCGACCTCCATTTTCACAAGCATTTTGTCCAGAACAATCAAATTTCATTTCATAGTCAAAAGGAGCACAATTTGCTAGGCGCTTTCCATAAAACTCATAACATAAACAAAGGTGTAAATCATCACGGAAACATTGTAAATGAGGAGAATGTTGTTGACAAATTACATGATAATATTTCATACGACGAAGAACATGAAGTTGAGCAAATGTTTCATTTGTCAATTCATTAATTGATGAACAACGATGTGATGAATTAATCTGTTGAGTTCTTCTTGTTGAAGGAATATAATTTGGTTGAAGAGTACCTACGTAAAAGATCTTATCCAATGTTTCAATAAAAGTTAAATGAAATCGTTGTGACCAATAAACTCTGATTGAATTCGTTGCTTGAGATATCGTTTGTAATATTGTTGATATCTCTACTTTTTTATCTACTGCTCCGGTGAATAGGTTACTAGGTGGTCCAATTATCGTCATAAAATGAATAAAAACTGATTGAGATATATGCAAGTCATTATCGAATATAATATCAATTTGATTACTATCTACTTCGCATTGACGTCCACTATAACCTTTTTCACATATACAACTATATTTTGTTTCATCTGAAGTCATAAAATCATCGCCTGGAATACATGAACCATTATTTAGACATGGAAAACTTTCGCAAACTCGGTTCTTAAGATAACAACGAGGACCAAATCGGTTCTCTTGACACACACAGATTGATCGATTATCAGCTAATACACCAATACATAATGATTTTTTTGATGAACAAGTGCAATTATGTTGAACATGACAATACTCTCCGGACCATCCTTCATCACATTGACAAAATGTTTTTTCTTCATTGACATATTTCATACATTTTCCATGTCGACATTGCTGATTTGAGCAAGAATAATCACTGACTGATGGAACATTGATAATGAATGCTAACCGATGAACGGGTAAAAATAAAAATTTCACGGGATAAAGAAAGCTTCCTCGGTAACGAAGAGAATTTTTTTCATAAATATCAATATGAATTGAATAATTTCTATTCATATCTTTTGGTCGAGTTGAATAAAATAAATGAAAATCAAATTTAACTTGACAATCTCGTACCGATAAGTAAGTGAATTGTTCATAAGAATGAATAACTCGTTGATTTGTATCATCAATCAATAAAGCTAATATCGTAAATGGAATTTGCCATGATTCAGTTGCAACATTGAATCGTATTACTAAACTTATACGTTCATTTTGATATTGACATTGATTACCATAATAGCCGGGTAGGCAAAGACACGTACTTGTATATCCGTACAATGACTCATTTAGCCAAACACGTAAATCAAGACCACGATGACAACGTCGTTCATCAAGTAGTGAAGCTCGAGCAGTATAACTTGCAGTAAATGCATTCCCTTCTATGATTAGCTCTGGTCTAACGAAACCAGGAATTCTAAAATATTGAGCTCCTACGTCATAATGACCTATGGTGAAGAAGAGTCGAAAAAAATTCTGTACATCAGGGCGCAGTAAAACAGAATTCGATTGAAACGTATCATCTACGACTGAGATTGATTGATTTTGTGAACAAAATTGTTCATCCTCTCCATTTGGACACTCCGTTACGTTATTGCAGAAATTATAGCTGATCAAACAAACTGGTGGTTTGCTGTTTGTACAATAAAATCCGTCATACCCATATATGAAAATTTTACGGCGGCATATCCTTCGTTCATCGGTTCCACCAAAGCAATCAACTTGACCATCATTAATTTTATTAAGTGGTAAACATGTAACATTAAGTGTATCTAATGTGACACATATTCGTGTTCCCGGGGAACAATCAAGCGTAGTTGATGGTTGATTACAATCCATTTCATCTCTTCCATCCCAACAATTCCATGCTCCATCACAATGAGTATATAAAGTATCACACTCTCCTTGTTCGCATTCAGTTTCATCCGTATGGTTTTGTCCGTCGATTGTTATTGGATATAAGGTCTTGAAGCCATCACACAGTATCGGGAACGATATCATTCTTTGAGTCAAATTACTGTCATGATCTGTATCATCGCAAAAGTCATCATCGAACCTACAGCCATATTTTCTGTTGAAAAGATCTTCTTGTGGAAAGCTTAGGCCCATGTAGTAGAAATCACTTAACTTATCGTTTAATCGAACAAATAACGGATAATTCGCGTCGTTCAATATGCTTTCATCATCACCATATGGACAATCGTGTATATTGTTGCCAACACGTCGAAATCCAATATATTTCGACGAGTTGATACATTGATATAAATTGAATGTATGACATTGGTTCGAAGAATAATATATTATTGGATTGAAGTTTTTTATTTGATCGAAAATACTCATCATGATCTTCAAATAGGTATATCCTTTCGGAACTATGTGGATCATGGTATCAATTATAGGTCGAGGGAAGACAAAACACGTTAGATTGTTTAATGACATATCTGAAGCTAGTTTAACTGAACCATCATGAAAAGATTTATTTGAACATAAATAAGGTACGGCGAACTGGTTTGAATTTAACACATCATTTTTTTTATAAGCTGTAAAAACATGGCCAAAGAATACTGGAACATTGGGAAAATACAGTGCATCTGGACATTCTTTTCTTATAGCAGGTATATATCTTTTTGCATCACCAAAGTAATTAGCTTCTAAATAGTGTCTAAAAGCGAACCAGCATTCTTCCGGTATAGAACTGTCTTGTATTGAAAACATAGCGTCAATGAGTTCCCACGTACGATTGGAATCACAGCTACTTGTTAAAAATGTAGTTGCGCATCTTAAATCTTCCAGATCGCCACTATACTCCAGCTCAGTAAGAAAGCCATTATATACAGTATAACGATCGCGTGCTTCATCAGAGCCGTCAAGACATTCATAACTGCTCATACCATCATTAACAAATTCAATCGGTATACATTGCCCCATGGTACACTGATATTCATTTTGTTCACACTGATTCAATTCAAGTTGCCAACAATGTTCTTCATCAAAATTTCCATCGAGACAGTGAACTACACCATCACAAATTTCTGACCAATCTAAACATACTGGCAAACAACTGCGATTACATTTCAAATGAGTAAAACAAGTCATATCGCTAATAAATTTATTATCAGATCTATAATAATGAACTAGATCAGAAAATATTCCATACTCTCCAACATCATAATAAAATTGGTACTGACACACAGGTCCGAATCTTGGTAATGTACAAATGTAAACAGGTTGTTTTTGCCAAGATGAATCATTTGATTCTAAATAATATTCATACTGTTCAATTGTATCAATTGGCACTGACCATTCATATAACTGTTGACTTGTGATATGTTTTTCCACAAGATCATCAAAATAAAATTTTTCCATCGAATTATCAGTTTTAACAGAGAATTTCGATGATAATTCACTCATACAAAATGATACAATATCTCGATTTATTCTTCGGCTTTCCACAGTTCCAACAAGTCGTAGACAATTATATCGGATACCTATCTCGTCGAATTGGTCGACACTAACCTGATCGGCAAAATAAAGATTTACTTGAAGCTGAGTTTTGACACAGCATAGAAAAGTCGAATAGAAGATATATTTTATATAAAACATGATTGGCTTTTATGAAACAATACAGATGAAAGGATCGCATATTTTTATGAATAATTTTATTATTCTATGACGTCAATTCATTAAACTCATTTGTTCCGATTTGATAGTGATCAGATTTCAAATCGATGTGAAGTCACCACCATTCAGATAGCACCAGAAAAAATTCATACAAAACCTTATGTTCAAATGAATTCTCGTCTGTGAATATAAGTCCATCTGACGCAGAATTTGATTCTGCATCGAATGGTGCTAACTTCGCACTGAGATTTCAATATTAACGCATTTGTTATTAGTTAACGAAAAAACTAATGTCATTCCTGAAAACTTTTGTAAAAATCGAGAAGAATAATCGAAAATAAAACTCATGGTTCGATGATTTTTAGATATATATTTGTAAGATATGAAAAAAGAAATTTTGAATGTTAGAGATAAGCATGGTGCTGTTCATTTGTTAGAATATTTTTTAATAGATTTAAATTGACGTCATAAACATTATTTAGGCAAGTAGATAAAAAAAGATTAACCATATTCAAATATTTGTTACATAAATAATCACTGTAATTTTTTTCTCCTTGATGAAAGTGAGTAGGTGAGCAGAACTTTCCTGACGCGTTTCATCTTTTGCGAACAAAGACCAATTATTCTGTTATTCCATCTACCAAAAGGGAATTATGCGTACTGCAGAAAGTATATCAGATAGAAGACAACGAATCATAGAGAAATATCAGTTCCTTTTTTAATAATCCATGAATCGATCTTCTAATCGGTCTCATTTTCGAACTCCAGCTAGATTTTGATGTTTTAATAGACTATCAACAACTTCACGTCAATCACATTGACCTTTCTAGAGCTGACGTGTAAATAGATGGAGGACATGAACCAATTCTAGTAATGCGTTCATATTTTCAGTCCACTCCTCCCACTTGAATCCTCCAGTAACTCTAGGCTCATGCTGCAAAGTCTGATGGTAATCGCTACAGCAAGGAGTCATGGCTATTAGATGAGTAATCTGGGTGAAATGGACCCAAATCCCCCAACGTGTCGCAGGAGAAAATGGACAGGAAGACAGATTAAATCAACTCTCTTCTCCCTGAAGAATTTTGGTTGATCAAAATCAAAATATTTTTATTGTAGACAAGTGATTCGATGGCCATGAGAACAAAATCAACAAGGAACTATCATTTGGAATAGTTACTGTTGTGTGTAAACGAAAAATCAATTGGCATTTCTTTATGTTTCTGTTGAGGAGAAGAATGAAGTGAGACTGTGGAGAATTGGAGAAGAAAAACTGGACAAAGAAGGAACATTAGTGGCTGGCGGAAATGGGGAAGAAAATCAACTGAATCAAGTGAGTTTTCCTGCAGGAATCATTGTTGATGATTGGGGCCGAATTTATGTTGCAGATTGTGGGAATGGTCGAATAATGCGTTGGAGTGAAGGAAGTCGACAAGGTGAAGTGATTGTTGGTAGAAATGGAAAAGGAGAAGAATCAAATCAATTGTCTAGTCCCATCGGTTTATCATTTGATGTTGAAGAAAATCTTTATGGTTCTGATTGTGAAAATGATCGAATCTTGAGGTTTGATTTGTAAATAAAAGACAATGAATTTGTTTTTAAATCATTTGAATTTTTTTAGATTCGTTTTTGTGAAGATTCTCATTGATTTAGAAATTTTGACGAGAAACACAAAAGCAAATTGAAGATTTTTCCCGCAAAGTCGATCAAAATTTTCTTGCGAGAACTTCATCAGTTCGATGAATTTCTTTGTATTTTTGAGATAAAAAGTGATTTTGTCATAACATTGAAAATTCATTTGAAAAAGTTTCCTTCGCATAAAAATCGTGTTAAATCTGCAAATGGACGAAGATCCGAGATTTTCATCCAAATTGAGTTCGACATTTCGTTGAGATCACAATTGAATTTTTTGTTTGAAATATTTCGAAAAAAATGAACAGTTTATTCTTTTGGAAAACAAAGTTTTGACGTCGTTCTTTATTGATTTCGGCACCAATGATTTGTTCAATGAAGATTTTGTGTCGTTTCATATGAAAGAAATTGCTTTTCGAAATGATTTCATTTCTTTCTCATTGATATTTTCATGAGAGATATCATATGCAGAAAATGAAGAAACGCTCAATTGATTTCTTTGATGTTTCGAGGATGTGTTGACGAGACTAAGATATTTATCTTTTGAAATTTGATGCCTTTCACCATTGAATGTGAAAAATTCACGATCAACTGTTCAGATCGAATGGAAACACAAATCTCTTTTGTTTCTCGATGAATCTCATCAATAAGAGAAACAATCAGATTTCTTTTCGCAGGAAGAAGATTTCAACTAATGATGAACCCAAACGAACACTTAATTACGATGTCGCCGTTTGATTTTTAGTGAATCTCCTCTCAGCGTCAAGTGATATTTTTCTTCATTCAGATTTTCTTTTACTTTTCCTAATGTATCGATGCAAAGTGAAAAGAAAGGAAATAATAATCACACATTCTCAAGCCTCTGTTCTTTCAAATTCTGTATTTTAGCAAATACAATTGAGATTCGTAAGCTAATTATGACGATGAATCGGGTTTTATGTGTTTGTTCTCGCTTTCATTCTCTGCACTTTGATTGTTTATTTTTCCAATCCATACGATCATTGCTTTCGATCCATCCCAATAAATTCAATCGATTGTATTATTATCTTGATTTGTGCCACATTGTTCATCCATATATCCAACTGTTGTACTCCACATGGAAATATCGAACAGATACTTTCGAACGGTATAGGAGTACCATTTTCGTAGAGAAAATTACTAATTGTCAGAGACTGAAGACTATGTGCTTCTTCCAAACAGGAACCCTAGAATGTCAAGGCACCACCGACTGGTATTATACAGTTCTAAAATGCTATTATACGCACTATCTTCGTGATATCAATAGCCTTAAAAGTTGTTGAGACTAATAATGCTGACCAAGATGAATACAAATTAACTATAAGGTAAGCAACTTTTCTAAAATGAAAATAGTTCTCTCGCATATCCTACGAATAAAGATAGAAGCTCAAAATGAATTTCAAACAAATTTACACACTTCTCTTTCGAGTGCAGTATCATCGATATTGCGTTTATCAACAATTATTGCTTCAATATTATTGTGTTCTGTTCTCATTGATGTTGCAGGAGAAGGAAGTTGAGCGAATCCTGGGTTGTGAAGAAACGTACTTGTACATATTGGTATTGTGTATATGCGAAATTCTACCGTCGGTTCATTGTGATATTGAAATATAGTAAACCATTGTTTGAGTTTAATCCAAAACGGTGTTTGAAATGCAGCATTGATGAACTCGAGCTCTTCTGGTGTTCTCATTACATTAAAATGCTGTTGAAAAAAGAAATCAAATTTGTTTAATTGAGATAAATTGGTCTGTATAAATTGTTCCCAATATTGATCACGAAGCATGTCATCTGGCGCGTCGTCAATAAGTTTCAAATAATTTAATGACGGTACCTACGACAGAAGTAATTCAATTGTATCCCTTCACAGATTATGTTCTTGCATAGTGAGAAACCGAACTTGTTAAAAAGTTCTCCCCGATTTGAATGTTGGCAAACTCATAAAAATATCATAATCAAATTCCCCTTCAAGAGTAACTGCATGTAAATGAAGACAGTACTGAAGTACTTAATACAGATCGTCTATCTTGATTTTATGATAAATCGACAAGTATCGAATCATGCAAACAAGTTCACAGTTCACGTGGAATATGTTATGCTCCACGAATGAAAGTTCTAAAAGACGAAGTGTTGGCTGTGTAATTAACGAGGTAAGCAATCGCTGTCTCATTTTAGCATGTTTCTCATCGTCGTTTCGAAGCCAGATTGACACATTTCAACAAAAACACCAACTGGCTGTCATCAATTTTCTTAAGAATTAGGGATGATGATGATGAGGGGGGATGAGTGAAGATGTGAATTGCTACTTGGAATAAAGTCATACGATTCCAGTAATGATTAGAATTTATTTCAATCATTAACAGGAAACGCCATCGAAAGCATGTTACTATCGGTGAAGATAATGCTGCTCTTGTCACTTCGTTTCAAAGATACCAAATATTTCATATGCACTCGATGAGAAGTTCTACTTAACTCATAAAGCCGTGTATTTCTTCTCACAAGATTTATAACTCTCGCTGTTTATGCCAGACAGATGAGAAACATGAGTGAATCTCAGTTGCGTCAGAATCCCAGATATCGACACAAAATTTATTGAGCTCATCGTTGAGTGTGCACTTGAACTATTCATTGCACAGAATTAGCTCATTGAGATCCTTGTCTATATTGGTGCATAGTGTCAGCTTATTTATTTCACTTATTGATTAGTACTGTCAGACACAGCATGATAGAAAAGAAGAAGAATTCAACGTGGATAATATAATTAAAAATATCTATTGCAAAGTTCACCTCAGAATATGGTAAAATGAATTCTCTTCGTTGTTTCAAATACTGTCATTCCAACCCAGGTCAAAGAGTACGGGCCGGTTCCGACCGGAAATTTTCGGAATTTTTCCCCATGGTTTCCAGTTAGTTCCTGTTGGAAAAGATCGAAAACTGACCGGAAATCACGGGAAAAATTCCGAAAATTTCAGGTCGGAATACTGTTTCCATGTTCCAGCGATTTTCAGTTCTTTCCTGCAGAATCCAGTGTTTTTTCCGGGGCTTTCCTGTAGGATCCTGAGGGATCTGGATACCGGAACGTTCGACATGGGAAGTGTATTCAATTCCATACACAGATCATGCCGATGGGTGGAATTTTGTGCGTTTGTTCTTGATTTCATTCTTTCCATGTTGAATATGTATCTTCCCAAGCCACACGACTATGGAAGAATATTCGTATCAACACATTGAGTTGATTGTATTATCATCAAATCGCTGTCTATCCTCTTTTATCATCGAGATTCCAACACGAAATTTCAGCGTTGATAAATTCTTACAACGTACGAAAACTATCTTTATTTGTTACGTAGGGTACCTCGGCTCCAGGATTCGACTTTTTCTGGAACCCATTCGTACAAGAGTGCGTTCCAACTCTGACCATACTGAGTCCAAGTAGAACTCGATGAGCTCTATCGATTTTAATCACAAAGTTTTTCAATTCCACCCACATCCACATCCTCAAGAAAACCTGTGAAAAACCTACTGGATTCTATCGGTTTCGGAGTTTTCGGACTATCGGATCTGACATCTGACCACTGCCGGTTAGATTTCTGCACCAAGAATTCCGGCGATTCCCAACAGGAATCCTGTCGGATTTCTGCTGGAATTCATCAGATTCAGTAGGGTTTCCGAAAGGATCCCGGATTACTCGTTCTGGATATCCTACGTGATTTGTTTCACGTTGTCAATCGTTGCTCAGTGTGAGGTTCATAACACTTGAAAGGTAAGTCCCAATGAGCTGGAAATTGGTGTAGTAGTTTTCGATGATGCTTTTTCATTTGCAATGATAAAAAAGGAGGGATGGGGTCACATTTTTTAGAGTATTATTATGCTTGAGCCACTCATGGACTATTTCTTAAAAAAAGATTCTATACACTTCCTTTACTTTGGTTGAAGTCGTAAAAAATTGCTGTTTTCACGGTCCTATATTTTCCTGTATAACTGAGAATAGTTGTTACCAAGCCAGGTTGTAAACAGTCAACGGCGCCACAATCGTTATTCTATAAATAAGAAATTTTGTCGATGCATAGAAACGTTTTTCGTTAATTGTCGGTTTACCAAAACGCGTGATTTCTTTATCTCTACATCATTTTCCCCACATATTTTGTTGGCTTTTTCCTTTTATCAATCCTGGTTGGTATTGTAGAATACATGTGCTTTAAACGCCTATCTACATATACATACACTGTAATATACCAATAACAAGTGGCTCTTCTTATCACGACCAAACATAAAAATACACATCGTTCCTTTTCTCTTTCTCTTTCTCTTTTACGACGTTATCAGTCAGTGTCTCCATCGGGTTTCTACCACGTTGATAGGAAATACTTCATATAGGGATGGTAGAGACCCATGTAAACGCCTATCGATATTTTTCTTACCTTAATTCTTTCACTTATATAAACATCGTAGTACATAGAAAAAAGTCTAGAAATTTTGTAAGTAGATTTCGTGTTGAGCTATCACGGTTTCTTTGCAAAGACGATAAAGTGAGCGAATATTCTACTAGATTATTTCATGTTTTTTATGAAACAATTGGTTCTAGTAAATGTTTAATAAAAAGAATATGAGTAAAAGCCTATTAGCTTCTTCGTAATAGATAAAACCCCATAAACGAAAAGATTTCCTACAAAAAGAAACAGATGGTATGTGCATATTCTTTGGTTTTCAGATTTCTATCGAAATCAATTATTTATCAAATTATTCGAACTTGATTGCGGTGCTTCTGGTGGAAAGAAAACTCGTTTTTGGTGGCCTATTTAAATTATTTGAAATAAGCTGAAAATTAATCAAAACATCAGGTAAACTTTCTATACTGATAATTATTGCTTCATTTAGAAGATTGAGGGACTGCAGAATTCAGATTTTTTTATTAGAATTCTAAAGGATCATGGCTGCTGAAAGTATAATTCTGTTTATCTCTTCATTTATCACATTTTATAAACTCTTCTCAAATCAAATCGTCATCAGAGTTTTGAAATCACGCGTAGATTTTTTTGCAGCATGCTGGCATATCACGACAACGATGTCGATAAGTATATGTGTACAAATGTCTGATTTCTGCAATTGGTGAAGATAGCTCATCTGTTCAGACAAGAATTTCTGAGGGATGCATTTGATCGTTCTGAAATTTTTGCTACAGTTCAAGGATGAGCAGAATCCACTCGTGTTTTCAGTGAATTTCAGCTTCAACATCTCTAAAGAAGGTTTTCATATTTATTAAAAGAACCTGCTGTGTTTGGGATTTTCTGGATAAAATAAATACCTTAAAAGAATGAAAAAATTCATATGCGTACGATGAGTTTACATTTACACAACAAATTTTATCTATAAAAGTAAAGTTACTGTGTAGCACGCGGACTAAGAGTAAAATTTAGTTTTAGGGGGCAATTAGGCATGAAAACATGGACCATCCTGTTTTCAATTCTCTCCAACATTTCATATACTGTTGCTAACTCTCAATAGTTTACCGTCGATATTTATGATTTATTAATTTCATTTTTTTCTATCATTTAGATACAAAATATGGCGACATCAGGAATGATAGCAGACTCTGTTGATCAAGAAGAAGAGGCAACTACAGATAAAAACTTGAAGACACCTATTACCGATAAAAAAGTTATTGAGGCTGCTGCAATTGAACAAATTAATGAATTAGTTGCACTTGACAAGAATAAGGATACTAAGAAATGGAGTCTTTTGTTGGGTCAAGGCTTTAATAATCAATGGCAAAGTGCAACTGAAAGCAATAACATATCTGACGAAAACAATGTATTTGTGGTTAGCTTGCTCGGTAATACAACAGCTGGTAAAAGTTTTGTGACAAAAATGTTGTTAGAAAATCCTGAAAATGGCCCACAAACTATCGATGAAAGTGAAATAGAAAGTAGTACGACAGGAAACATTAATTGTTATAAAAGCGAAATAACAACCGATCTGGCAGAAAAAATGTTGGTACTAGATTATGAAGGCGAGAAAGGCTCATCTTTTCCTTCAATGTTACATGCACGTCGATTCTTCGCCGAGCATGTTGGATTAAGCAGAGAATATGCGAAAGAACGACGTAAAGCTGTGACTGAATATTTTCCTAAACTGGCTTACGTTTTGAGCAATATTGTAATTCTGATAGGTAAAGAAGAACTTATTTCTGCTGATTACCTTAACCGTTGTTATGAGTTCACTCTAAGTGCAAATACGAATATTACTAATGTTCCGTATTTACCAGTTTTGATTATTATCGAAAACAAGTGTTCGCTAGCCAAAAAATTCGGCGTTAAAGAAGTTACTAATGAATTTTTTCGTATTCATCATCGAGAGACCGGTAATTTAGAAAAGTACTTTTCAAAAATTTACTGTATACGCTTACCGCATACTGACCAGTTGCAAAAGGTAAAAGGAGTCGGTGTACTAGATGGGGAAGCTATATTTAAGGAACAAATTATTGAGTTGAGGAACATTATTAAAGAAGCTATTTTAGAAGATCGAAAACGCTTAATTACTCATGCTCAGTGGCTTTTTTTATTAAAACGTGTTCTAGATAGTGTTTCTAACGGAGAACCGGTCTCAATACATTCTCTACTTTCCCAAATAACTGATTCGATGGATGAAGATAATGATGACCAGTTCTGTGCTAAAAAATTTTTCGACTATACATATAAACAAGAATCTATTCATACAGCACAACACTTTCGATCTTGCAGAGATTTCGCTCTAAAAGTTTTTTCTCGAAATGTAGCTATCGTATTACTTCGACGAAAGGAAATTTTATCTGAACGTGTTATACGAGAAATATGCACAGTAAAGATGCTATCGATGTGGGAAATGCTAGATGCCTATAGACCCTGTGAGGCGATTTATACCGGCAGTGGGACTAGCGCTTCAGGTAATCCTGTTTACTGCTATCAGCATAAAGGTGCGCATCCACGCCATCGCACATCAGAAGGAATTAAAAACGTTTCTTGGATTTCATCTCTGTTCGGAATGTCATCGACAATAACTTGGGATGGCGACTTTATTAGCAGGGATACCGAACAGATTAGCGAGAAAGAATTAGAGAAGTTTATTACCTTGACAATTGAATTTTTGGACGCTTTAAGAAAAAATCCACAGGAAAAAATTATTAGTTTCAAATCATGCCTAAAGGAAGCATCTTATAACAGTATTCCTCCTATTAGTGGGAGATTGATTTGCAAGTGTTGCCTCAAAAGAAAACCTAGAGTTCCTTTATTACGTATCACAGATATGTATGCCGACTTATTCAGGCATGTTTTATTTCCATCCTTCACGATTTGCATAGTCTGTAACAGTGAACTGGAAAAGATATCGTTGTCTCATGATTCAACATCCTCTTCAAACGTCACGTCGAAAGTATCAGATCAGAAAACTAATATAGGTGACGTTACTAGCAATGACGATGAATGTGTTATATGTATGGGAGCTAAGAAAAATTATGCTCTTGTGCCATGTGGACACAAAGGATTTTGTCACGGCTGTGCTACTAAAATGCAGCAAGAATGTAGATTTTGCCCGATTTGTAGAGAAAGCGTAGAATCGATACTTAAAATTCATAATGTATAAGCTACAGCTTTTTCTATTGCTGGAGTCTTGATTTTTTCGCGTAATTTTGTTTTTCTTTTTTATGTAAACGCATTATACGTTTTGTTTGCTTTATTTATAGTCTTCTTTATTATTTTAACTGATGATAGAGTGATGTGAAAATAGCAAAATATATGTGTTTGTTTGTCTTGGATGAAAAACATATGGATAATTATAGGATAGCAATCACCCTACGAATTCGGTGATTATTTTCTCGAAGAAATTCAATATGGTTATGGGCGGAAGTTAATCCAATTAAGATTTTTCACATCCAATTTATGTTTAGAGAACTAACGTTTCCGTATATTACTCTCTAAAGAGATGTGTATGAAAATATTCACACGGGCGTATACTAATATCATTCAGCAGTTTCATGCTTCAAAATGTTTCTAGACTTTCAGTTTCACTTAATCACACTTGAAATAAGAGAATTACTCTAAAAAATAATCTAGCTAATATTCCATAATAATGAAGTAATATCGCTCTCGATTTCCCTCTCTGACCCGTTAGCTTACGTATTACAAGTATGCGAGTGTTATCTCTGCTACAAATTGATCAACTTCACATGTAAAATGCACAAAATCGTTTCACAACTGTCATGGCATTCTGCCATGAGTCATGTGTATGTGCTCATGATGATTGAGTCATTTGCGTATGACTTGAGATTCTTGAGTCATATATGCAGTATATATAGGGAAAAGAGCGTTTATGCTAGTGTGTGTGATCTCTCTCTCGCTCTCTTGCTCGTTGGTTCTACATCAATAAACATCACGGTCTCTCTCGCACTGGTTCGTTGCTTCTGCATCGACAGTCATCACAACAACACGGTACGTATTTTCATAATTTTCTCAAAGTAAGATTTTCTTTATTTGGACCCCGACTTAGTAAATCCATCTATAATACGTAAGATTGATATGATTATTTGCTTGCTAGCAAGAAGAAAAATATGTGTGTTCACTTCACATATCGCAAATAACTTAAAAGCTTTTCGTTTCGTTGTTTGCACAGCAGTAATGATTACCAAAAAAACTCATACACTTCAATCTTTTCTCTCTTATATACTGAACGGCACATGGTACGTATGAGATCATTTTATTCCTTTTTCTGATGAAGTTACAGATGTATACAATCACTGTACGGAAAAGCTTAAAACTTTGTTGGTCTTGTCCGATCACAAAACAACTGAATAAATATAAACGATAACTCTTTCAAAATTCCATACAATGATACATATCGAAGTAATTTTTTACGCTTATATCCGTTAATCTGTATTTTCATTTTCAACAAGTCAGTGAGTGAGTCAAGGTAACTTGAGATATATTATTCAAAATCATATGTCTACACCGGAGAAAACAGTAGAAATTGAAATGAACCTTGCAAAACAAAATCAAGATCAAACCATATAACATTTGTGATGAATTGCAAAAATTTATTTAAAATTCCGTTGAAAATATATTCTTGAAATGGAAATGGAATATGAACGTAAATTTGAACGAGATTTTCATTCATGTCATCTTATACGTCTTGAATAATCTTAAAAATCGAAGCGCTCTATTGAATATTACTCACTTTGAGTCACCTCTATGCTAAGATGAACACATTTTACACAAATAGGAACTGTATGCACAAAGATTTCAGCGTAAAATAAATTGATTCAAGGAGTATTGTTGAGTATGGCTTTGGAATTGAATTAATAGGATTGAAATAAATTCTGGTTTGAACGTGATATCCATATGATTTAATAGGACAAAGTTTTTTCGGAAAATTTATTCAAGTTTATTACTAGATATATTCAACATAATTTTGTTCAAATATAAAAAATACCTCAGCAAAGTAACTAATCATTGATCTAAAGCCATTATCTTGAGGATCAGAGTGGAGCATAGATGGAACCGGTCTGACTTCTTTAGACCGGCCGGACCGGCTGATCTACCGGTAAAATATTCCTCTTTGGGCTGATGATTAACACATCCCGAATTGTTTATAAGGATAACGAATATGTTGAAAATGTTCTCTTTAATTCGCTTTTATAAAGTTCCAATGAAATCTTATTAGAAAACCTCTGTAGAGTTACAACCAGGACCAATAACAGCGTTCAATCCGTCTCTATGATGAAAGCTGAAAAATAGAAAACTTAAACCGGAAAAGCCAGTAGACGGGTAGACCGGGACCGGTTCCATCTACGAGTGAGGATGCATTGGATATCTGTAATTTATGTAACCAACACAATCATCCAACTTTTTTAGATATCATGACGGCTTTTCTCGCTAATAGTACCAACAGTTTGATGAGTTATGTCCATAATTGCCTATAATCACCGACTTTCAAGAGAACTTAGAGAAAACAAGTCGGCAACAAATGTTAAAAATGAACCTCTTTAACACAGCCGTCCAAAATCTCTCTTATATCCTGCACAAGCGTTGCTGCGGGCATCCACAGGATCACATAATCTATATTTTTGACTAGTAAAGTTATGTGTTTAGGTTAAGTTTTCATCTATTCTATTAATGACATGTCGAACGAATGTTTAAATTTTCGTGCTGAAGAAGAGCTTTTTCCCTGAGAAAGTCTCATTCACATGTGACTATATATATCATGAAAAAGGAACTCGGACTAGGAAACGATCACACTCCAACGCACTATCAAAGCAACATAACAGGGAAGATAAAAATTTCTCTCAATTATTCCTCAATCGGAGTCACCTGATGCCAGAAAGAGAGAAAGTAAAACACAAGTATGATTTCATATAGAAGGCAGCATGTGAGGAAGGACAACAAAGCACCGTATCTTAGTGCCATGAACTGTGAATTACTACTTGGAATAAAGTAATGATCGGAATTCATTTGAATCTTTCATAAAAGACGTCATCGAAAGTATGTTACTATCGGTAAAGACAATACTGTGATTCCTACCTTGTTTGAAGGATACCGAATGTTCCAGGTACTTTGGACGAAAAAAGCTTTCTTTCTTGCAGCTCTAAAAAATACTCCTTAATTCTTTTCATACAACGCTAACATCATCTCAAAATCATCCCATTCACCCTCATTCTATGTGAACGTATTATGATGATGAATCGATTTTCATGCGTTTCTTAACCATTTCGTTCTTTGTACATTCAATGTTCATTTTCCCAAGCCACACAAATACTAAGTAATAGCCATCAGAGTACATCGAGTTTATTGTATTATCATCGAACCATTGCTTGATGCCTGCAATCATATGTAGTCTAACACCAAGTTTCAGCGTTAATAAATTTTTACAACGCTCTAGAAGCATCTTGATTTGTTCTATATCGACAATATTTATATCCAAGTGTTGTAGTTGACGTGGAAGAATCGAACATATACCTTCAAACGGTATATCACTGTCGGATTCATAAGAAAAATCACCAATCGCCAAAGAACGAAGATTATGTGCTTTTTCGAAGCAGAAATTCAATAATTTCAATAGAGCATCAGGTGGCATCGAAAAACCACTAATTGTCATCTGCATGATGTTTGTAATATCAATAGTTACAAAAATCGATGCCAATAATAGTATATGTTCTTGTGAAGAAAGATTAAGTGTTAAACAAGTAACTTTGTCAAAATGAAAATAGTTCTTCATTGTTTCCTACGAACAACTAGGACATGTATTGAAATTAAGTTTATTCAAATCTACATACTTTCTTTTCAATACCTCTGTCATTATATTCGCGTAGCTCTACGGTTATTTCTTTCACAGTATCGTTTTTCATTGTCATTGCTGTTAATGTAGGTGAAGGAAATTGTGTCCATTGCAGGTCATAGGTGAATGCACTCGTACAAATTGGTATGGTGTAGATACGAATATCAGTTTTGCTTGCAGTAGTATATCCGAATATAGTAAACCATTGTTTATGGTCGATCCAGAACGGTGTTTGAAATGCGGCATGAATGTAATTGAGTTCATCTAATGTTTTATTATGGTTGGAATATTGGTGAAAGAAGAACTCAAATTTGTTTAATTGAGGTAAACTTGTCTGTAGAAGATGTTCCCAACGAGAACCATCAACTATGCAATCTTCGGATCTACCAACAAGCTTCAGATAGTTCAATGACGGTACTAGCGACAGAAGTGATTCAATTGTATCAATAGTTGCGCGAAAATTTTCAATACTTAGTGATCGTATTTGTTGAAAAGTGCTCCGCAGTTTATATCCCGATATCCTCCCAAGATGGCCTCGGTGGTGCCAATACTTGAGGACGACGGTATGTAAATGAGGACAACACAAAAATATTTCATGCAGATTATCGATAATGTTGTAATTGCAAATCAACAAACGTCGAATTGTGGAAATAAGTTTGCAGTTCACGTAGAATATGTGGCGTTCTTTCAACGAGAGATTTAACTGGCGAAGTGTTGGTTGTATAAATATCGACGTAAGTAAGCTCTCCGTGATACGGACAAGTTGTTTATCATATTTTCTAATGCTTACAGTGAATGATCTAATGGAAGCAAGATTGAGACGTTTCAACAAAAACTGCAACTGATATTCATCAATTTGTTCCAGAGTTAAATTTTGAAGTCGAGTAAAAGATTGAAGACGAAGGATACTTGAGAGAAACAAATAGATCTCATTTGATTCGTCGAACTCATTTGCAAACGTCAATGAAATTATCTGTTGTGGGCTCAGCAGTCGACAAAGAAGACGAAAATGTTGTTGAGAAAGTTTTTTGAAGTTCAATGAAAATCGATTGTATGAATTTACCATCGATCGAAATGATCGTGAGAGTACTTGTATTGAGAACAAGATTGTCGATGCTTCGAGATGATCAAAAATACGATGTATTATTTCCACTGGTAATCCGTCCATGATTGAGGTTGAGAAACAATCTCTTATGTTCTCAGATGAGTAAGAAACTCGATAAATAGATAAATACGTATCCAACAGAAACAAATCAGAAAAAAACTAACAGGTGTACATATTTTCTGGATTCAGGAAGATGGCGCTCTCTATCAGCTTCAGGTAGACATTTTGAAGACATGTACAAGTGATATCCATGTGAAAACAAATTAATAAAGATCAAAATGAAATGAATTCAGAAATAAGAAATGTTTTGGTCGGTTAATTTTACGCAAAATGTCCTTGGTATAATCGTCATACACATTTACATTCGATTATTTATCGAATTGAGGAGAATTCTGCAAAAATTTATCTGCAACTAAAAGGTTTCTCGTCTCTTTGTACTCAAATCGAATATTTCTCTGAGAACACCATAAAATGTACATCGATGATCAGACGTTGAAAAATCTTTTTCAAATACCCAATATAACTTTTCGCGATCCTATATTCAGTTCAATGCAAAGCAGCATCTCGATCATTTGATTACTTCTCCTATATTACCGTATCCACACGTTCTCTTGCTGGAAAGCTCCCGAGGAAGAAGAGAACATTTTGTTTCTTTTTTAATGTTTTATTTAAGCGATTACTTTTTCAAACATTTTGTCTTTATTTTGGTATGATGGCGTTAAACGCATGTTGGAATTTTCGTGTTGGACAAGAATTTTTGGAGAACGTTGCATGGCCTTCTGTGTTGCGTAAATCAGCTCATGATCGGTGTTATTGTCAGCGATGTTACTCATTTGACCGCCGCGATACAATCGCTGTCGCTGGTTATACGTATGTCATTCCACGCGGATGGACTCGTTTCGCTGTTGATGAAATCTTCTTCAATCATCACGATGTGTGGAAAACATGGCTCAATTGTTATCATGGAACGAGCATTGAGAGTGCTAAATCCTGTGTCGAACATAGACAGTTACTGTTGCCTTCTGATGTTACGATGCATGGAAAGAAACTAGAAATACGCGAAGGCCACGTTCCCGGAGAACATTATGTTTTTACAACACCGTCGATCAGTTATGCTGCACTGGATTGCTATGCTCATACATATGATTTTAGATCGCCTTATGATTCAAAACTCTATACTATAAAAGTAGCATTGCAGTGCAAACAAAAGGCTGATTCAATCCTTGTTCAACCAGAAACAGTTGGCGCACGTAGGAGAGGAACAAGAATATGTCCTCACATCCCAAATGAGGAATTGGAATGGAAAACACAGCATCGATCATCGGTTATGATTTATGGGCTACTGCTAAGAATAAAAAGATGCAACGAGAATTTAGATAGTAATTCAAAACAACTCCCACCTTTGCCACCAGTTAATCATATAAGTACTGAAACATTTATGAATCTTTAAAACAAGTGTATCGCAATTTGTGAGTTACATGTAATCTTTTTGTTATGTAGGGGTGCCAGTTGAGCCGAGAAGAATCGTGAGAGACCCATCACCAAGTAGAACTGCAGAGACAACAATTCCTATTCCGTCGCGCGCAGAGCCGAAGAGCGAAGATACCACAAAAAAGTGTTCAATAATACGAGATGACATAGTCTTTTTGGTCTTATTTATAATTGTAAATTTGTTACCGATAGCTCTTCTAATTGTGGGTCAAATCCACAAATACGATTGTCCAGTTGAACCCTGGATTCCACAATGGATGACAATTTTCGGAGCTGTTAGTATAGGTTCTTTTAGTGTCATGTTGGTTATGGTAAAATTGTACTAACATAAGTGTTTTATGAATTATTATATTACTTATAGGGATCTATAGCATCGAAATGGCGTTCTCCTTATGCAACTGTTGGAGTCGCTGTTAACCTAATCTTCATGGAAATTTTGCCGGTATTCTTTTTTGTATGGTTAATCGCGATAGAAAAGAGTTTTCGCCGAAAACAGCGGATACATTTTTCCTTTTCAATAGGGAGGTATCTGGGTATTTCCGGTAAAATCGAAAGTTCAACATGATCAACCTAATGAAGTAAACTATTGTGAAGGAAATCTATACAAGTTCGCATTTGGATTTCTAATTACCATATATGCACTGATTGTTCTTGTTCCTCTATGCATTGGTATCGGGAAGCTAGTCGAGAAACTACGAAAATGCATATAATGCACCTATATTTAAGGTTTATTATCAAGATGCATATAACGCAAAATCGAATCTTTTGCTCAATGTGATTAGAATGAAACATCGTTTATTTGGAATTTCTTATATTGCGACATTTGATTGGTGATCAGTTTTGTTGAATTGTCAATTATTTTTATCTTCGTCTCTTTTCAGTCATATAACTATTTCATATTCATTTTAATTAATTAAATTGTATTTATCGTTCAAAATCTTTCAGCGAACATATCAATTAAAATATTCTATTGGGTGGTATGATAATCAAGATATGAGACAAAATGTTTGTTTTGTACGCTTTGTATACAGAGTATACTGTCGTCTTGGTGGATACGTCTAATAAAATAACTGATTTCGATTAGAAAAACATTCACTAGTGACTAAATTAGTCAAGCAGACATTTCCAAAACGTCTTTTCTGACAAATATCTTCAGTGAAAGTATCTCTGTACTGTATATACTGACTAAAAGGTAATTTATTCCTTGACAAAGTCACAAATGTTGATTAAGTTTGTGGTATATGAAAGAAAAGATGATTTTATTCGAAAGTACAATGTACATTAAAAAAAACTGTTTGTTTTCTTCTTTATTCAACATACATAAAACACCAATGATTCAACACGGGAAGAACGAAAATAGTTACATGCATACTATTAAACAATGTTCGAGTGCGCCCTCTACTGTAGAGGGGCGTACACATCTCCACAATAAAAAAAAACAAATTCTATTTTTACACTTCAATCCAGAAATAATTGTCTCAAAAGAAAATAACAGAAGCTGAGTGGATCATGTGGTTCGAATGGATGTGGATTTACGATTGGGAGATCATCGTTGTCGTGACGAGTTTCGTTAGCTACGGCAGGCGGCAGTTGAAATAGTTGCATTCCACCGTAAGCAGTACGAAGAACTGGCGGATTGTTGTCTTCAATCCATGCATACATCTGCGCAGCAACATTGAAATACCGTTCAACTGTATACTTACTCATTCCACTAGGCTTCTGCATTTTTTCGAATCTCTTTCGTCTGTAGGCCTCCCCTGAAATGTTAAAATATCAACTAAAGAGTAACTGTGATTGCCAACAGTGAAATATATACAGAAACTACTATGTTTATCAATTTATTAAAGGTAATTTGCAATTAACGTGGAAGTGATGATGGTTGTTACGATTTTTCCAGTTTTGTTTACGACGAGCGTGGATGATGATGTGACATAAACAGGTTCCGGCCGTTTTTTTTTCGTATTTTACAGGCGTCATACATGATGTCGCAACAAAATCATCATTGACTACGACCCTACCAATGATTTTTGATGAAGCAAAACAGTTTTCCTCGACTGTATGATAAATGCGTTTCACATTTTCCGTGTTTCCATGCGATAAAATGTCATGATGCAAGTTGTACTCGTAATTATGCAAACGACAGTGAAGATGGAACATCGATATATTTACCTTCGAAAAAGTCGGAATACTTCTGCTCCGAAGTTTTCGAATAATAGTGTTTATTTCAATAAAACTCGAATTATACATACACTAAGCGATCAATTACTTTCAGCAAAAATGTTTACTTGTTTGCTATTCTAACCCTCAAGATAGGGGTTTCGCATTGACATAGACGAATCGTTGAATAACCGGTCGACGTTTTTTTGCCCGCCGAATTCTTTCGATCTCACGTCGTGTTGGATCGATAGCAAAAAAGTATTTGAGAATATCCATAATAATAACAAACAATACAACACTTATCATTGCTAAAATTGCAATGAAAGCAAAAGATTTCGATACGATTCGATGTACACGGAGTTTCGTTGTAATTTCTTCACAATGTTCTCCCTGTGTTCCACTAAGGCATTCACATTTATATCCACCTAACAACGGACGACAAACACCTCTGTTATGACATGTCACAGTCCAACAATAATTAATCTTTCTTCCACATCTCGTTCCTTCGTAACCAAATGAACATGTACAATTATAGGTCGTATTCGATGTCTTATTACAGATACCTACAAACAAAATATTGCTTTCATACATAGACAAAGAAGAAGAGAATTTACCGTTGTTGAGACAGGTATTTCGTTTACAAGGACGTCGATCTATTTCGCATCGTTTACCAAAGAAGCCAAGTGGACATGAACAATGATAATTTTGATTATTGTTCAGATCAGTGCATGTGCCATTGTTTAAACATGGACGTTGCATATGGCAAATAGTACCAGATGTATTGCAACGCTGACCAATATTTGTTGTATCACCACATGAATGTGTGATTACAAAAAACGATGTTGAGTTGCCTAAAAAACAAAAATTGTTATAAATAAAGAAACTATGCTTTGAACATTATACTTGGATATTTTGATGTCAATAAAAGTGATTTGTCTTTTGTTGTCAATTGATCTTAAACACAAATTATCTGTAAATTGGATTGAAAACAAATTTAATTACTGGATATACTGTTTTCCGATGTTTGAGATACATAGATTGTAGGTGATTCAGTGGTCGAAAGAGAAGTTGATACTACAAGAAATAAATGATAGATGTAATTAAAATAGGAACCGAGATAATCCCTAACGACGGAAAGACATACTACACAAATTTGTTCCAATACTAAATTTTTGAATGCGGTGATTAGATTCATCAGCTACATATAAATTTCCAAAACTATCGAAACGAAGAGCATACGCCCAATGAAGTTGATTCGATGCCGATCCTGATTCTTTTGTGCAACCAGCAATGCATTGAAATGCGTTGTTTTGCACTTGAATGATGCGATTATGTTTATTATCTGCAACGTACAGAAAACCATTTCCATCTAATATGACATAGGTGGGCCAACATAATATTAAGCCGTTTGGAATGCCACTCCCAGCTGCTATAGTTCCATTCAGTTGTCCTCGTTGAAATAGTAGAATTCGATGATTTGGTTCATCAGCCACATATAAATTGAAATGAATATCAATAAATATTCCCCACGGTCCTTTTAATTCATGTAATCGTGATCCTGATGAACCTGTTCCTGCTATTGTTATCACTGAACGATTATCATCAGAGAGAGATACTTTCACTACTCTATGTTCTTCATGCATCGAACAGTAGAGGGTATTTTGAATGTCAATAAAGATATCATAGCAATTTGATGAGAAGTTTGCAACAAATTCACTGTTTTCTGAGTTTGAAGGAAACTTATCAATGCGACCTTGTGCTGTACCATTCTCAAAATAGATATCACCGTTCCATGTCACAAATACACTGGTATATTTAAACAAATGCGCGGCTAATTCTCGTTCTGGATGAACACTGTGTTTAGACCAGGTGATAATTCGTTTTCTGGAATGATCAGCTAGATAAATGGCGTCATTTGAATCGATGAAAAGGCCGCGAGCTACTGAATCAAAACTACTTTTGTTGGTAAGGGTAATACCGCATTCACTCCATGTGGGTTCCGACGAGAGTTTCGGTTGATTGTAGGGAACTACATATGAAGTAAATACTTTTAGATATTCAACACATTTCAAGAAAGCATTAGAGAACAAAGATCAAAGTTATTCTGTTATCACTCGTCCTAGATACTTTAAAAAAAAATCGATTTTTTTCAACGCACGTGAAGAATTTTGAAAGAACTTCTTTTATTAAAGCGTCTTGGGAACTACATAATCTGAACACTTACCAGGATAATTAAGTAGTTGGAATCGTTGTACTCGATGAGCTCCGTGGTCACTAACGTAAAGTGAACCATGTCGATCAAATGCTATTGCATGAGGACTCATGAGTTGGTTTGCTTGAACTCCAGACTTTCCTATACAACCAGCGATGCATATACCACATGTCGAATGAGGACCCCATCGTGTTATTCGAGAGTTACCGGATTCACTGATATACATATATTCATTTTGATCAACGATAACGTCAGTTGGCGAATTCACTTGTTCTAAACTATTGCCAGGTGCTCCATTACCAGCCACGCGGATGCCAAACGATGCTCTAGGCAACCATTTCATGATTCGATGATTATTGCGGTCTGCAATATAGATAGCTTTAAAATCATTTACAAATACTCCATACGGTTGATTGAGTTGTTTATCGGTGAACCCTTCAGTTCCATTACCAGCAACTGTTTCTCCAGGTACCGCACTCGGTCGAAAGACAAACACTTTATGAACACCTTGATCACTCACATATATGTTACCATCATTATCTATGAAAAGGCATATTGGCGTAACTAAGTCCTTCACATAAGGCACAAGAGTCGGATTGGAACCATTCAGTGACATCTCTTTTACTTTCCTGTTTCCGTGGTCCAGAACATAAAGAGATTTATTAAAGATAAAAACGTCGTATGTAAAATAAAATTCATATTGATTAGGTTCAGACCCATCACCGATTGCATAATTGTCTCTAGTAGAGTCAAGGTGAACAACAAGGACACGATGATTCGCTATGTCACTAATGTAAAGAACGTCGTCATTTGTGATAGTTATTCCAAACGGCTGATGAAGCTCAATGAGAGATAATCCAGATGTACCATTTGACAATCCTGCGACAGTAGTTCCATTTTCATCCCAAGAAGCTTCACGTGGTAATATCAGTAACGCTAAAGATTCAAAAAACATCATTTTCATCTGTTAACGTCCACCGGTCTACCCAACTTAGTAAAATTCCCTCAAAACTTACTCGATATTTTGCCACTTAATATCGTCAGAATGAAGTATTTCATAAGATAAAAATTTTCAGTCATCACAAAATGTTTTGTTGATGAAAAATGACTTGCAAAAGTAAATTGATTTTTAACAAAAACGACACATAGAATCATTTTCTCTCTTTGTTCTCTTATTAATCAACATTTACATTTCCTGCTTTCACAGTATTTCAATACTCTTTAGTAAACTATGGCCTAATCAACTGAAACATGATAATACAGTGAAATATTGACGTCAATTCTTTGCTATTATGTTTCCAACAGTTTCCAGAAACTGTTACTTCATATTAAAAAATATGCTAATAATTAATCGAACTTAGAACGAAATCACTCGTCCAAAGTTACAACCATAAATAAAGCCTTCTTATGGATAGAAGACATGACTCATTTGTTGATCAAAACGCTTCAAATGTTGAAGATAATCTTCAGTTGCCGATTGAAAACATAATAAAACCAAATTACGTATATTCGGATCGTTTCCATCGAACAGAAAATCGTACGCTTGATTCTATATCAATGTTAAGATATTGCAAATGAAGAAATAACATGACAAGCGTTTCAACTCGGCATCGTTCACATTTCTTTTGTTGAAGAGTGACACCGATAACAGAATTTGTCGTGCGTGAAAAAGCTTATCGAGTCGACTGTTAGTACCAGAATGTTCGTCATCGAAACGACCAATTCGATAAAGGCCATAGTTATTTCATTCAACTGTTCGCGTAGTGGTTAATGCTTGCGCCTAATAGCATAAATCCATGCGTATTGCAATATGACTTCTGCCGTTCAATCTGAAATGAAGATCGAAATAGTCGGAATTGATCTTCAAAGAATTTCTTATCCGTTTTACCAAATACCATTTCTGAAAATAACATCAAATACACGTAGTTATGGTAAATAAGATAATACGATTTGTTTCCATCTGTCCGCATCCATGCAAATCTGATCCGATGTAACATGTAAAACTTCGATGGAGAGGAAGTTGTTCAGAAAAATCTTTTCAATATTATTCAACGTTATGTATTTGAGTGTGAACGATACATGTGTCAAACGATCCAAGCTGAACTTAGGAAAATTTAATTAGTAAATAGACATGAAATCTATAGTGATTAAGTGTTCAATTGGACTGTATTCATTGGTTGTTCTATGTGATATCTTCGCAATGCGGGCGATTATAATTACAAGATGAAAATATCGTGATGATGATAAAAGAAATATTTGTAGATAAATATCAGCGTTCTTTGGGCCACTGGAAGTGAGAATACTCAATGTGGAAAGATGTGGTAAATATTGTGATTGGCGACCAACATTCTCTAACGATTCTGGTAGAATTTCGTCAAGAAGATGTGTTTGGAGATGTATCGTGTGTAATAGGGTCGGAAAATAAGAAAGTTTCCTATTTAGAGAACGCGAATCCGTTGTAGGTCAGGTCGAATTATGTCTTGATTGTAACGAGAGAAAGTCAATTGAAAGAGAGAGGAGAGGAGAGCGAAATTGACGGTTAAAATTGAAAACCCTTTGTAAGCATGGAAACAATAGTGATAATCAAATATTTTCTGGAAAATGTCGTTATAGGAAGATGTTCCAAATTTGTGTTTTTTTCCACGTGAATCACTGAAAATATCACCATACTTTACATAAAGCCTTTTGCTTTCCCTTTACGCATCATTTTGTTATCGCTGTTCCTTGATTTTCTTCGTGACAAGCATACTTTTGTTGATGATTCATCACACTATGTTAAACAACCTGTACTAAAACTATTCTTATCTGATGAAATATAACGAGGAAGAGTATAGACACAGACTGTATGTTTTTCGTATGCATCACGTTGCACCTTAGTTTTTCAAGCAAGATACAAAACGAAAGAAAGGAACAAGAAAATATCATATATTTCCCTTCCGAGAATGAATCATTCATCTCTGCCCAAATGGTTGAAAATTTTCGTTAGAAAAAAACACCGGTGCAACTAAAATTGAAGGTAGCGAAAATACATTCTTCATGCAAGCACTTATTTTGCTGGTTGAAATAGTGTTGTAAAGAAACAATGGAACGTTTGTAAAAGTTTATTAAACAGAAAGCTAAACTGTCAACGATTCAGATGCTCATAATTCGAGCGATAAATACACAAAGAAGAGACGAAGCGCAATCTTCTTTTCTGCTGACATCGTTAAAGAAAACAAAAACACATTCTTTGTTCATATTTAGCCCCTCAATCAAAAATAAAGTGTCGTATGAATGCGTGTCCAAAGCCAGGAGGATGACCTCCGAATACACGTGGATTTGGTGCTGCTTGATGACCATAGCTTGGCCGAGTTCCGTTGGCCATACCAGACGGCGCATGAAATTGATGCATTCCACCCTGAGCAGGATGAAGACTTTGTGGATTATTTTGCCTTACAAAATCATGCATTTGAGCAGCCACTGCGTGATATCGGCCAGCCGTGTAGGTACCCATACCAGTAGGCTTGTGCATTTTTGAATTTCTCCTAATAGTAACGATCGTTGAAAGAAAAATGTATAAGCTAATGGGAAAATATACTCGATTTTATAGGAAGAGCGGTAGTAAGGGGAAAAATGATTTTAGCTATTGATCATGTGTAATTTCCAATCAACGCGGAAATAAGTGTCGTTCTTACTCATTTTGTACATTGATAGCATGCAAAAAAATGGTTTTTAGTTATGTTTTTCTCTTTCATAACTTTCGTAAATCGTGACTTTGCTGTTGATATGTGATGACTAACACAAACGAAATAATCTCCGATTGAATGTAAAAGGTAAAGTTGAAATATACCGAAATAGACAGACAGGTATAATATTCGTTTAATCATGACCGTTTACTATGCTGAAACTTCCAAATGACTCATTCACGAGAAAATTTCGTAACTGTGAAATATTTATTCGGACTTTTTTTTTGTGTAATTATTCGAGGAAAACAATCTATAATTTGTGAAAATAGCAAATCAATTTATTCGTTACATCATCTGATATGATATCTTTGTAACTACAGATCAAAATGACTTTCTTTTGTTCGCAAATCAAAACAAAGATATACACTAAACTATTAACAAAATAATTACAGTTATTTACAAATTTTGAAGTTAACTGCATGACAGTAGAAGAGAAGAGGCACGCTATGCCAATTAATTTCATATGAAGATGAGTACATAGAATCACGGTAAATATTAGGGAAATTAATGGACTACATATCGTGAATAATGACAATAGAGTGCATATGTTTATGTCTGACACTTTCGATTCTGTCGTGTTCAAGCATTTCATCTTTTGTGGATTCTTTCGAAAGATGCTTTTTGGTCTGTTTATTCTCTCATTTCGCTATTCGGTTGAAACAGATTTTTATCGGAATTAGTACCTGCGCTATAATAAAACTTGAAGTTCTTGTTATCTTAATCACTATCTCCTTTGTGACAATAAGTTATGTTCATGTCCACTACATACGTATTGGAGTGGAGAAATGCATTTAAATAAAAAACAGGCTGGCACATCATGTCAATCTGATTTTGAATGCGATCAAGGTGGAGTTCCTTTGATTTGTGTTCAGGTAAACAGTTGCTCACAATCCAGTAATCTATTTGTGTAACTTTCTCTAATATATCAAATGTGCGCTATTTAATTCTAGGCTATTTATTACATGTCCGCACTGTAAACATGACTACTATAGTTTATAACCTTAGCAACGTTTCTGTTCAACCTTATACTTTCTACGCATTCAATTTTATTGCATTATTCAAACGCGTGATGGTGATTTGTAGTTTGAATAATCAAAATGGCTACTTTTCTCTCGACGATGCATCATTCACAGTGCTGTAATTGGAATAGAAGGTATATTATCGCCATACGATAGTTTTCAATTCTGTTTTGATGATGCATGAATTTCTCCTGACTTCCTCAATCAAACGATACCAACTAAAATTGGTTCGAATTATACTTTGAGTTTTTATAGCTTGCAAATAATGGCTTTTCGAATTTGATATTCCCTTTCGATAAATGTTAATAAAACAGATCTTTCAGTCGACACTCCACTCACCAACAATGAATAGGTTCTCTTACGTTTCTATGAACACTAAATTTTATTGTTTATTTTTTTCACTTTTGATACCAAGTGGTCACACTCTCAAGCTCGTTCATTACATTCATATAAAACACGCTGTGCAAAGAAAAGTCAAAGAACACATAACAAAGATCACTGAACATGATTATTAATATCCATGAAATACCATTCGTGCTGGGAACAGTATTTTCCATCCGTTATAGACTAAACGGTTTTCATTGCCTATTGCAGATAATATTTGAAACGAGCGCACTCCAGCATGAATAGGATAAGGATCTTGTGTATTATATTGATTGACCCAATTGTGCATTTGTGCACTGACATTATAGTAATGTATAGCCGTAGTGGTAGCCATTCCAGTAGGCTTCTGCATTTTGTAAAGTTCTTCGACTTGTAATGAGCAGCTGTTGTCGATGTATAGGAATCAAATGTGGAATGACAATAACTAATAGCAATTAAACGCATAAGAAATAACATCGGCCGTCGTGATTCATTTTTAAATTGGCAGGATGGAAAAAAGAAGGAGAAAGTTTTTTCACCTGTATTGATTAAAACAAAACGAAACTAACGTTCTCTGATATTTCTGTCTTTAAGTTACAGTTTTCAGTCATGATATATCGACAAAGTCATCATTTAATATGACTTTACTATAAATTGTTGATGAAACAAAATAGCCGTTTACATCCGAACAAGTCCGGATGAATCATAATAATCATCAATCGATCATAATAGGTCAGAAGACTTTTTATTTCTTTAAAAACAACATTCACACATGGACGTTGAATGGTTGTGACTCAATTAAACGAAAGATGAGTTCACATGAATGAATGAATAATCGTTCATTTATTTTCTTTCATTATATCATAAATCTAACATATAAACTATATGAAATCCGAGTGTTTTTGAGAGTATTTGTGAAAATGTTTGTTAATAATTATCTAAGACATAAATAACGCTGAGACAAAATTCAGTGATAGCAAAAGTGAAACATTTTCAAATGGACTGAAGTGATTTCGTTATATTTGATGAGACATCATCATTCGATCAAACTTGTATATAATGTGAAAAGCACTCATTCACCAAATTACGTCTTTACTGAGCAAAGTTCTATGTACAGAAGGAGATTAATAATAACGATAAAATATAAAATCGCCATTGTAAGAACCGTATCCAAGATTAATAGTACATTTAGTCCAGCAACATGTTGGAGTGCTACCGGACTTCTATGCAATGCCAACACAGTTAACTGTTAGATTACGCCATTGACAACGATCAATCAGGGTTAATCCTCCCGTCAATGCGAGATCACCTTAATCAGTTTGTTTGATTTTTCAACAATTTCATCTGTGCAGTAGCACGGCTCTAAAAGTAACGTCACATGATAATGATATCTAAACTATATCAGACTTATCTACATCTCAATAAGAGTAATTATTTACCTAGAATTGTAAAGGCAATCATATCACTATTTGAAACAAGTTGACCAAGTGAACTGAATTCTGTATACATCGAACAGCTGTGATCTATTTTACTGTGCGACAGTTCACATTTTGGTTGCACTAAGCAAAAAAAAGTATCATTGATTGAACAAACACTGGATCAACCAGCGATGAATTTGAATAGCACTGACTTTCAAAATGGTTAGCAAATTTATCATGTCCCATTAGAAGATCGTTGGCATACGAATGATATAGTATTAATAGCGAAAGAATAGCGTAGAGCTGACGTATTTCAAAATTATTGTTTCTCACTACCATTTTCAAAAATATTCTTCGTCACGATGTTGGGTTTCATATTCAACAAGGAAAATAATTTATGCACATGACTGTTAACGATAAGAATAATCTACATTGTTTGCTTATTCGTTATAAGACTATGAGGTGGAACAGTATAGTGTCAGATATACATAGAGTGTGAGGGTGTTTTCTATCATTATGAAATTCCTATATCTTCACTCACTCTTGCATCATTGTACTTTGTGTATTAATCAACAGTACCTGCCAACTCTTCTATGTTCTTTCCATCTTTTAAAGGAAGATGCAAGTATGTGTACAATTGATGAAGTGACATTTACGTTCCACACACACCCCAACTGATTGACCTTCGAACGTTTAATAGCGCATAATGCACTCAGAAGAGCGTTCAAGAATGATCTGATCACGGAGAGAGATGCCGGGCTGATCTTGTTGTTTTATAAAGCGAAGACGATTTACTTTAAGCAAAGAGTTAAATCATAAATATATTCAAAGTCAATGTAATGAATTCCACATTCACCCATGTTTAAAAAAAAGGTATAGGGCGTAGAACTAAATGCCTTAAAAGTATAGAAGTCTTTACAACCATCATTATTAAAATCAATGACGTCAATCAAACAACTACTAGATGAGTTGTATTCTTTAATTACAATAATCTTCTTTCTTTCACAATTTCCAGTTCTATTGCCAAGTTAAACGTACCATTAGAAAATCCAAAACCATAGTCACAAAAGCCATCTTTTCATACGAAACAACTAAATCCAAATGACCGCCGTCGTTAAAGTCTGCAACAAAAAATGCTTTGGGATTAGCACTTACATGTTCAGCGTATAGTGCTTTTATTATCTGCAAACTTTCGATTACCCGTCCCAATAAGCCATAAATTAACATGATATCATACAAGTCTTTGCCAAAATAAATATTATCCAAGTTTTCATCATTGTTAAAATCAATGATAATTAACGACATGATTTGAGAGGTTTCACCATAGACGATACTCTCATATAAACATATGTCACATATGATATGTGACATCATAAACACCTATTCCGAACATCAGACAGCGTGACCGGCTGTCCGGAGAATTTTTTTTGTCGATTTTATGAAGGATGTTCGAAAATCTCTTGCCAAGAAATTATGTAGAGATGAGTGCTCATTTGACACATTCATCCATTTCAAAAAATACCGGTAATTTACTCAGAGTTTCGCTTTACGGACATCTGCGCTGGAAGTCCGGAAAAACAAAGTGGTACGAAATGTAATTTTCCTGAATCAGCGTCTTTCTCAATCATGGTAATGGTTCATTTCCACTTCAAATTACTTGTCTGCCTGGTGTGAATTCAACGCCGCCACACATGATAATTCAACCTTTCTACATTTTTTAACCTACTTCATCTAATTTTGTTCATGAAAAACCATAAAAGTACTCTACTAAATCGTCCTTTATTTATTCTGATCCGTTCCTCTCAGAGCATTTCCCCATCGAAAATATTGTGAACGTAGAAGTCTGTAGATCATCTCAACAATTTCTAATAACGAAAGAAAACTAATACCAATCCAAAGACCAGTTTGACCCCCAATATTGGAAATGAGGTCGACCGGCCCGATCGATGCCTTTGAGTATAAACTTCCGTTTGAGTTGTTTCGCACATCACTGCGAGTGAAACATAATTCATTGGAATTTCGTTTTGCCACGTTGTTGTCCAATTTGCCGATGTTGGAATCGATGACGACTCGACAAACTTCTTTATATCGTTCAACTGAAAAGTCATTGGTGCTTCAAGTGCAGATGCTTTGATTTGATATGTATTACTGTGACATTCTGGTCCACAGCCAGGACATTGCTTGTCTCTCTGCGCTCCTAAATTTGCAAAATCCATCGTTACACGCGCAGAGCACGAATCTGTCCAATTACAAAGTGGAGCAGCTATAACTGTATCTGATCCCGGGAGTACAACAAAACGAGTTGCCCAATTATTCGGACTAATACATCCGCATTGTTGATAACTAATCAGAAGAAAGGATATTTACACGAGAGAGAAATCTGCCGTACATACATCAACGTTTGCATACAGATCAAATAGCAAAGGTATTGTTTGTATCCGTACTGAACGCCTTCATATTGGTCAAATAGGGCTTGCATAGCTTGGGCAACATTATTTGTGCAAGATGTGTACGGCGGGGATAAAAATACGTTGCTTCTTTTGCTATAAGCTAATGTATGACTTCTACCCGGAATGAGTTGCAAACCTGATGCTGTAATCAGAGGAAACTCATCATTATCGTGTACTATAGCCATCATACCAACACCTACACCAAGCATATCGATTTACTTACTAAGAAAAGGAAAAGAAATCACCTGTTGTCACGTAAGGAACATATTGATGTCGGTGTAGATAGAGAGTTAATTGAAGTAAACCATCGGCAGCATTTTCCGAATTGTAATGAACACTGTTATTTCGTTTACCATTGAATGTATAACAATTTCCATAACGAATCGATGCATACCTAGTAAAATTTGTTGCTGAGCACGGAAGATTGTTATACGTACAACTGATCAACATGGATTCAAGTGGGAAAGCATATCGAGCTAAGTGTTCACCTTGTACAAGGACATCCCGTTGAAAATCACGAACATATGAGGCTTGCTGTCGAGTGAATGTTGCCGTATCTGTTGTATTTGTTAAATTGCGACTATTCGTATAATTTAAAAACGAATCAATAAAATACGAATAGACCAACGGTGAGTAATTACAAATAGTCACAGCTGGAAACGGTTGTGGCCATTCAACGACAAAATCCACCGATGTTCTCGTCGGATAGTCAAAGTAATCAATAATAGATGTTATTATAAAATAAAACATGATACCAACGAAAATTATCAAGGCAGTACACCAAAATATTCGATTGAGTAGGCTTTGACTACGAGCAATAGACGGAATAGCATGAGTGGATGTATTTAAACCAAACTCGCGAATAATTGAACGTTTTCGCTCCGGTCTGATTGCATCCACACTGATAGGAAAAGTGCTTGCAATTTGTTGTATGGTTTCGTTTACCATAATAATCGCGTTTTTGAAATAATATTCACCATATATTTAAATATATGGAAATAGAAGTGATTCTCAAGCATAAATTATAATGTACGAATAAATATGAATTTAATTTGTTTTCTTCTTGCCTTTGATGTCGATTTGATTCATTTTTCTATTTATTTAAATTATTTACAAACGGTGAGTTTATTCAAAACCTTTTCTTTCGTTTGTTATCGGTGATGAATCACATTGACGTCATTATTTAGTTGTAGTTAAGTTCACAAAAATCATGCAACAGCTTTATCTTATCAAACAACCGTGTAGGCGTCTTCTATATACACTGGTTGCATATAAACCTATGAGAGTGTATGTGTTTCATAACGATGGGTGTAGAACGAGATTTACCTCGAATATTGTGGTTATTTTATATCGGTGTTAGTTTAATGACTTTAGTGTCAAATGTACAGTCATATAGTATCAATGAAACAGTACGATCGTCGCCTTCAACTCCTACGTATTGCAATGGAAGTTGTATAACGAATGTATTGACATGTGAGATCAAGGCCAATTTTTGTTATATCGAAGGAGAATGTTATGAAGCAAATCAGGCACGTCTTAATGACAGTTTGTCGTGTTTGCAATGTCAACCAAATATAGACCAACGAAATTGGCGATTCAACAAGGATTGTTCAGCAGGGGAAAAATGTGTTAATCCAATGTTTCTTGCTTCGAATGTATGTCCACCGGAGATTATTCAAGCTTTCTACATGAAACCGACAGACGCGACTTTTACTTTCTACAATTTCGAAGCATGCAGTCGAGACAGAAGTCGATGTCAAGAAGGCTTTTTCATTTCGACGAATGACAGCAAAACCTACGCGTGTTGTCCGGGTTATTTCTGTCCTGAAGGACAAACTTGTATGATACCATGTCGGAAAGGTGGTTATTGTCCTGGCGAATTGTCTGCAAGTAACGGTACTTGTCGAACACCAGTAAATTGTCCTGAAAACCGACCTAAACAGTACGGTGCTTTTGGATGTGGTGGTTCGTATTTCGAAGGCTTTTGTCCTAACGGAACGTATTGTCCGTCATCCGCGCAAAGCATTCGCTGTAAAAATGGTTCAGAATTTTGCCCGACAGGAGTCGCAAAACCTCTGTCTTGCCCAACAGCATTCGTTTGTTTGGATGGTCGAGCTCGACGAACACGGGTTATTACTAGTGTTCTTATCTCTGTCGTTGTTATTATTATTGCTTTAGCCATTTGTGTCAAAGTATATGAGTGGATGACTCTAGGAAAACAGTGGTTTGGCAAGCATAAATTGAATGATCCACCTGGTGTTAGCGATTATTTTCGAAAAGCAATGCAATCTGATAATTCACCACAAAAGTACATTGAACTTCATATTCATTTAGACAAAGCGCGGCTTCGGAATGTGACTCGTTTTGATCCCGAGCGTAACGAAGGGTTTACTGGCCGTATAGCTGCTGGTAAAATCACGGCATTGATGGGCGGATCCGGTTGTGGTAAAAGTAGTTTATTAGAAACTATTCATGGTCGACGTCAATTAAGGAAAGATGGATCGATTACGTTTGCTGATCATCAGCCACTGTCGAATATTTTAACAGATTATATTGGCTATGTCCCACAAGCTGACATTATGCACAACGATCTGACTGTTTTCGAAACAGTTTATTACTCTGCTCGTGCTCGACGATTGAATGAATCCAAACAGATATTAGTCAATGATGTCTGCTTCGTTTTGAGTAAACTTGGCTTAGGATCAATGCATAACAATTTCACTAAAACACTGTCAGGTGGTCAACGCAAACGTGTCAATGTCGCAATCGAAATAGTTGCTTGTCCAAAGGTGATACTACTCGACGAACCAACATCGGGTCTCGACACAAGTTCTTGTGATGATCTTTTCGATCTCTTGCAACTAATCAAATTCAGTGCTGCAGGACCAGTCACTATCATAACCGTTATTCATCAACCAAGTTTCGAATTATTTCAGAAGATAGATCAAGTATTCTTCTTAACACCGCTATGCTGTTTAGCGTATCAAGGTCCGCGACCGAATGCAAAAGATTACTTGAAACAGAAACTCTTTCGCGATCAGCAATCAATACCTCCAACTCGACACAATGATTGCGATACTTGTTTTATGATGTTAACTAATGCGCGAGATCATGTTGAAAATCATCGAATTCCTGATCAACGGACGAGTCAATCCCTTACAACTTATTCGTGGCTACAACGATTTTGGTATCCGTTTTTCTATGTTCTATGTCGCTCAACAAGACAAATTTATGTTCGTGGCATCGTTGCTGAAGCTGCTTACATGTTCGCTTACTTTCTACTAGGAACGTGTGTTGGCTTCTTATTCGAAAATAAATTCCAAGCAACATGTGATATGACAAAGTTAACAACAATTTATTTTTTGATTACTCTCTCCTTTGGTATTCTGACTTGCATATCCAGTCAACGACTTTTCGGTGTCGAAATTACCGATCAAACATTTGAACGTGAAAGTCGCAACTATTACCATCCATTTCAATATTGGCTAGCGAAAAGTTTAGTGGATATTTTTCGAATGGTCATCTATCCATTATTATTTCTCAGTATGCTCTATATCGAAATCGTTCCGCGTGGCTCGTTCTCATTCTATTTCTTTGTCATGGTTCTTTGTTCGTTTGTTTGTTCGGGTATTGGTCAATTAGTATCGGTGATTTTCGATCGAACAGAATATGCATATCTCGCCGGAACAATCTTCGCTCTGTTATCATGTCTTCTGTCGGGATTTAGTCCGACAAAGGATGAACTGAAACAAGGTGGTTTTATTGTTTTTTGTTCATTTTCGCGACATGTGCAAAGTTTATTGTTTCGACATGAATCGAAACTTTATCTGGAAGCATCGGAATTCGAGGATCATATATGGGGAACGTCGGTTGAAGGTATTCATAAGAATTTCGACTTCAATAATGGGGAATATCCGCGCTTATGTATGATTTTCATTGGATTTCTTTTGCGTGCATTGACATTTGCTTTTCTCTATGGCAAATCAGAATATCGTTCGAAAGCTCGCTTCTACGTGACGAATCTTCTACCCAATTTGAAAAGTCTTCTTACATGTGAATCACGTCGAGATCGTCCTTTCAAGCAGCAAGCCAATACGCATGAACTTTCTATACGCAACATGGATGAGAGCTCCTTCTAATTTACTTCGCAGATCGTCCAGATGTTCTACTTTCGTCTTCTTTCAAATGAATATAATGCTGTAGCGAAAGTGCGAATACTGCTTCTTTTTTGTAATTCTATCGTGCTATTTGTAATCTGATTATTTCAATGTTACTGATAATGCATTCAATTATTTCCGAAAGAAATTATTTATTTAAGATGTCGAAAAACAAGAATAAAAAGCATAACATACGCAGCGCATCTTGAAGGTGAGCATCGAAATATGCTTTCCTACTTGATGATCCACCATCTCGCAGTACCAAGACAAGTGACGCAATTAGGAAAAACTCAGTATAGAACGATTATATTAATCGTTTTGTTATTTCGTGTTACGCTGACGCAACTTGCTTTTGTTATAAGCCCAATTATTCTTTTTGTAGATTTTGATAACATCGTCGCATGTGTCACAACAGTTAGTTGAGCCATCATAACAATTATCACACATGCCTAGAGGGTGAGGGTATGATCAAAGTGGATTTTAAGCTACTAATATGTTATTCTTACGAATATTGTTAGGCTTGGCTGATGTGATCGAAACAAGAGTGTCAGCTTCTTCACTTTCACTGTTCGAGTCGGCAAGAACCACAAGACCGTCGTCTGCGGTTGTGTGAGACTGTGTATCACTGCCTATTGAATAGAAATATCGCATGCTTGTACAAATTTAGTAAAATATTCAGTTCAAGGATATCAGTTAAGGATGGGGAAATCAATAACAATTCTATGCGAATTCTTCACGTCTTTTTTTTTGCTATAATACGAGAAAGCATCGACGATAAAGAAAAGATGTTCAATATGATGTATCCTGTTATGAGATTCGACTTCTTTTTCGCAACAGTTGTTAACTACAAACTCTGTAATATATTGTTTGATGAAATGCGGTTTTACCGCTTTTCATCAAAGATATTTTTCTGACTTTTTTGGAAAAGAAAGTATATGGGTTTTAAACTAACTCAAAAGCTTTTACAATATTCACATACAAAGATATAAGAGAGCGAAAGAAAATTAAATCGTAAACTAACTGCTTTCTACGGTTGAGTAAGGAATTTAGGTCGTAAAAGTAATTACCGAAATCAAAAACACGCTCGACGTCATCTTTTATGTTATGACCAACATAATCACCAGTGTAAATAATGTATTCCAATATTTGATATGGATTCAGTAAAGAAAATGAACTTCCATTTCCTGTTGACTCCGTATTTCCTGTTAATGTGTGTGTATGACTACCAGCCGCATACACTTCAATGCCTGTATAAGTTGTAGAAGTTGGGAGCTGGACAGCAGAGCTATGCGGATAGTGGATATTTTTAACCCAATCTTTCTTCCCAGAAAAATAGCCACGCTCATCATAACGCAGACTGTGTGCATGCCCTGGGTCCTTTATGCCATGTGTATGTGATCCACTCATCTCAGTTTTCAACGACCCAGATCCATGATGATGTGTTGGTAGCTGAACTGTTGTTAACGTATGTACTGCATGTCCACCAGCAGTACCTGTTTCGAAGGCATAGTCTGCTCGAATCACTGACGGGTCCCTTCCTATTGCAACACGACCGCGTAAATCGGGTACATTGAATGTTGAATATCCATTTCCATTTCAAAAGGAAGTACCGATGACATAAAACAACTTGTGATAAGTGGTGCGAGACAGCTCTTGGCCTCGACAGAATGTCCAATTGCGTGGCAGTGTTAATTCTCTGCCAGAATAAAGTCTTATTTCGCCTACAGATGGTGAAGCGTAACTCGTATGCATTGTTAACTTTTCAATATCATTTTTAACCATAGAATCCGATGATTGAAGTTCTGCCAATTGTCTGTCTGTGTTTAATCGCAATTTTTCTACATTGCTTTCAATGGTTCTTATTAAAGTTTTAACTTCTGTAAATTGACTTGTTGTCCGTGCTTGTAGACTGTCGCTATTATTTCTAGTTGCCGTATCCAACGATGCAATTTTTTCATATAATTTGTTCACGCGATCTTTGATGTTTTGACCATCTGCTTTCACACCTGTCAATGTGGAGTCTAACGTATGTAGACTTGATTCCAACAGCTTAGTATGATTATCGATGCGTGGTACTGTTCTCAAAACACTGTACGATGTTCGTAGTTCTTTGAACTGTTTGTCCATATTGAGTTGTGTTTTTTCCATATTATTTTCGAATATACCAAACTTTTTGCTTAATTCATCTAATTTTGATTCAAATATATTCGAGTAGGAATCAACGGCTGGTACATGTCTCCGTCCAGCACGGGAAGATAACGATGGTAGAATGCGGAT